AGTCCTGTGGGTTTAGGCCGTCGTTGTCATCATCATCATCGTCCGGATCATCATCTGGATCACCACCATTATCATCGGGTGGATTACTAGGGAAGTCATCATCACCATCATCAGGATCATCATCATTGTCCGGAGGTCCTGCAGCAGGAGTGTGTGTAGGGGTTTCCGGGGTGTCGACGATTAAGGAGTTCGGATATGGTTTGAGCGGGTCCACGACTAACGCGTCGCTGAGAGAAACTGGTGAAGGTGTTGACTATGGGTGTTGGATCATGATGGAGGGAGGTAAGTCCGACCGCGTGCAGAGTTGTTTGTGTCTTGGTTGGAGGCATGATAGGTGTAAGTAACTCGGAAAGGTATGAGTTCGAATATACTGTTAAGACCGTACTCGAGTAGTATCGGATCCGAAGGGCTTCGGCCTCAGCTCATGCGCTGTGCCCTTTTCCCAAGTCTTGCCCCTTATTTCAGAGTACTAGAGTATCGTGTATATTGAGACGGATAAGTCTTGTAACGGATCCTGTTATGGCTTCCGGATATCGAACGTATATAGTAACGGCTAATCCGGATCAGATCCGAACTAGAAACTAACGGGCAAGGACTGTCCGAAGACAGAGACGGATATATAGACTATAGGAATCAATCCTAAGTCTCTGAGTAGACAAGAGTATCGTACTCAAGTCCGGACGGATAACGGATGGACTCAGAGTCCAGACAGAATGAGTGCAATCTAAGATGATATTTCGAACTGATCTACTACAGCGCATGTACAAGGGTTTATATACTACAGATAACTAATGGAATGATCAATAAGCAAAGGCTTGAGGCTATGCATGAAGTATAAGCAAAGTATGTGTACAGCGTACTGGTAAGTCGGACGGATAACGTATCATAACCAGGAATGAAGTCTAAGCTAAAGCAGATCAGTAAGTGTAGCAGATCAGTAAGCATAACGGAAGTAAAGGATAACCGGTATACCGGTGTACAGGAATGCCGAAAGGAGATGAACGATAGTTAGAGTTATATGAACAGGACATGAAATAAGGATTAGATCGGATCTGTGGACCGGACGATGGATATGTCCATCGGATCTGGATCGGATCTGAGATCCAGATCTTTGGATCTGTACCCGGGAATATGGTATATGACAACTTCACTCACACTCCTGCAGGTATTCTGTTGAAAGATATGATGTCATGTTCCATGGAATTTGCTTGAACATTCCAATGACTCAGAATGATGTCATTATCCCACCATGAATATTCTGGAATGTTCTTTTGCACCTGCTAGAACATTCTGCTCCAGTTTTTGGAATATTCTTCTCACATTCTGAAGTCATTACATCACCTTTTACTTACATAATATTCCCACACAAAATGTATATAAGGAGAGCCCATTCTCCCCCAAAAAAATAGATCTCCCACTTGTTGCATTCAAAAATCTCCCTCTTGAGCAAATTGAACTCTCACCTAAGAAGCTTCAGTCTGAACAAATTGCTGCTTACAAAGCCCATTTCCTTTGTAAGAACTGTCCAGACAAGTGCAGGGAAAGTGTTTCCCTTGAGATTATGTAAGTTTCTCGCGATAGAAACCCAGTTTTGTGAGACCAGTGTTCTCACCACATAGTGTTTGCTGACCAACACGAGCTTTGGTCACCGTTGTTATTTGTGAGACCAGCGTTCTCACCAGGTATTTGTATATTGACCAACACGAGCTTTGGTCAACGTAGTCACATTTGAGACCAGCTTCTCAACAGTTATTCGTATATTCAGGAAACCAGTTCAAGTGTCTAGACAGTATATCCTAGACAATCCCATAGTTTCAATCAGAGATAATAAAACTCCGGCTATGTTAATCTAACTGATTTGTTTAGCGAGCCTCCCAAGAACTCACACATTATCTACCACGAAAGAAGAAAAGTCGTAGACCGTGTTAATCGAGGACTGGCAAGAAGTCTTATCCAGTGTAATTGTGGTGTCATTACATTCTTATACGTTTTTCATATAAGACCCTCAGTTATTAAGACATCACAGCAGAGATTGATGATGCAATGACAGCGAGGATGATTGCAAAGGAGAAATGCATCATGTGTGAGGATTTGAAGGGTTAGTAGGAATATATCTTTGCTTTTGAAAGCTGATAACATTCTTTATGGTGTTGGGAAGAACCTATCCATTATTGATTTCCTTACTAGCCTCAAGTCCGAGCTTTGAAGCTTGCCGCATTTGACCACATCATATCTGCAGTGCCAGCAAGCAGGGTCTTTTGGCCATTTGGTCTGGAGCGTCATTCCGCCAGTGAATGTTATCCTCGAATCCTGGTACCCCCATGCATCATGATTGAAACCAGGACATTTCAATCCAAGAATATGAGTTTGCTAAAAAAATCCCCATCTGCACCAGCATAGCCATCATTCCCATGCACCACATATATATTATATTGAATAGTCGAATTCCGTCTACCCTCAATACACCCACATTCTTATTCCTTGCCAGACCCTACTTCTCATACCCCTTCCCTCCCAATACCCCCAGCCACTGCAGTCCACAATTGAGGCTGCCGTTGACATGCACTTCATGATGCTCACTCCCAAACCTTGTTCATAGCAAATCTTTCTCCTCCTACTCTTAAACATAGTACCAAATTCTGTGTGGTATCCAATGATTTGGCAAACAACCAGTCTTCATTTGCACAAAGAATGACTTGGGCTCTGCCGAAGGTTGTCTTTCCTTCTATGCTCGATTTCCTTAGCTAACAGTGAGTCCATGTCGTCACTGTTTTTTGTGTATGCCTGATCACGATGTAGACTGGCATTTTCAGTTGTATTGCGGAATGCCACTATGCTAAGAGCACACAGTGTATTTCTCCATCCAATATCAAATATTCATGGTACCAAGTGTTGTTTTGAGCTGGGTAACTTGATACTGTCCTTGTGTCCAGAAAAGAAAGGTACATTTTACTCAAGGCATGAGCATATTCACTGATTGGTGGCAAAACAGTCACTAGTACCGCAGCACCATTTGTTGAGATCTTGACATTGATCTATGGCATATAAGTCAAGCTGGAGAACACTGTTAGCTGACATGTTGACATGTCGTGTGTATAATTGCCTATCTTGTAGTTGTCTGGATGACGAGGAGCTTGAATTTCTTGGGATACACTGGTGGAGCAACTTTACCGCATCCTGATGAAGAATTCGATGTGTTCCAGAAGACTCACAAACTAGCAGGCAGGTGCATTTTTAACCCTTTGATGTTGTGCATATTTAGTTATATCTGAATAACCTGTAGGTCTATCCCATCCAATGTACCGGCCAATGTGCCTGGACAAGGGCATGATCCGAGGTGCTATTGTGCGCACATATACTTATAGTGATGAATGTATATTCTACAGGCGCAGGTAATAAGCATGTGAAGTAGCTTTCCTGCTCTCATTAACATTGTGCCTATCAATCCTGTCAAACATTTTTGAGAAGTCGTCAAAAGTCAAAGTAGGCGGGACCTAGGTATTTTTTCATTGAACAACACAGATGCTGTGCCGTGGACTGATCTGCACGGCAATAGGTGTCCTTGCACGTCATCTCCAAATCAAACGAAAATGATGCCAACTCCATCAATGTTTTCCTGATTGCGCGATTGATCCACCACACCAGAGCCAACGACCATCATGATACTGCACCGATGTGAAAGCAGAAACACAACTTGCTTATGGAGGTCTACTTGCGACTGCACCAGAAGAATGAAACTTTGTGGCAAGACAATGGACTTTTGAAACATTCAACAGAAGGAATACTCTATTCAACCACATGCAGACCAATACAGTGCTCCCTCAGTATCATGACGAGTGGCTCATGTTTTCTAGGTGAGAGGATCAAGAGACAAAAGACAAATGTTAACGCAACAACTCCAGGTAGAGATACGAGGCTTGTGTTCTGCACGTTTTGTACCAATTGTGTGAAGGTATGACATAGTGAAATGATGAGAGAAATGCAAACTCTAGCTTATTCAAAGGAAAGAGATGATGTATCCGTGTGTCTCAAAATCAAAGAGGCAAGCTCTGAAACACGAGGACAAGCTGCGCCTTGGTCGGAAGTCATGGTTGGCGCATAGAGGATATCATATCCTCACTGAGAGCAGAATAGTTGTTTTACCATCATTATACTGCCATGCAGGTGCATATGATCAAATTGAGAAAAACTACTGATACTCACACATACCTGCCAAGGGCAGCAGTTGGACTGATCATTGCACCACCTGGGACAATCGCTTTCATCAAGGGGCATGGCAAAGATTGATTATGCTAAAGCAGCAATGATGGCGAGGACAATTGCAGAGGAGAAATGCATTGTTTGTGACTCGTGATATTGGCCCTGATAATTCTGAAGGAACTAGTAGAAAGATGGCTGGCTTTCATGTGCTGAATATCGAGTTCTTCTTGCGTGCAGATGCATATCTGCAATAATGATCATTGGCAGCAAATCTTGCCAGCTATTCAATAAGTGAGAGATCTATACCAGTTTAGTGTGGAACTAGTACTACTGAATGTTAATGTCCGTGTCACGGTTTAGGCCTGTGCTCAAGCATCCATCAAGTGCCATGATCTGAAATATTCACCTTGTTCTCCTTCAATCTGCTTGTGATGCTTCTTTTCAGACTCAGTAGAACTCTAATTACCTTTTACAGGTAGACCAGAATAATGATACACTGTTTTCTTCCAAAACATGACATGAACACATGATCAGCGATGGATGAACAACTATCCTTACATGGATGTAGGGATTAGCACAGGTAAACCTGCAGGTGTCCAGAGCCCTACCCGCACCTGTACCCGCCATATACCCATACCTGTGTACCCAAGGGTACCAATGGGTACGGGTCTTCGAACAGGTATCGACAGGGTTGCGTGGGTATGGCAGTAAACCTGCAGGTATGGATTCAAACTATGCTAGAAAACAATTAGTGACTACATATTAATAATAGCATCTAAATCTAAGCGTTCATCATTGCCTCAGTGGTGAAAGCAGGTGGAGAGTCGAGTCGCAAGTGACAACAGCCGATCTGTGTGACCAACTAGGCGCAAAGCCAGTGCTTCCATGTGAAGTGCAATAGCCTCTTCGTTGTTGCCTTGGTGGCAAAAGCGGGTGGAGAGTTGAGTTGCAAGGTTAGTTAATGACATGGACCAATGTGTGTGACTGACCAGGAGCAAAGCTAATGCTTCCTTGTGAAGTGCGATAGCCTCATCCAAGTCTTCGTCATTGCCTTGGAGGTCAAAATGGGAGGATAGTCGAGCCGCAAGGTTATTTAACGACAGGGACCGAACTCTGTGACTGATAGGGCACAAAGCCAGCACTTCCCTGTGAAGTGCGATAGCCTGAACCGCAAGGTTATTTAATGACGAGGACCGATCTGTGCAATCAACCGGGTGCAAAGCCAGTGCTTCCCTGTGAAGTGTGATAGCCTGAACCACAAGGTTATTTAATGACGATGACCAATCTGTGTGACCAACTGGTATCTTCTTACTTGAGGGTCTTATATGTTGATCAGAATACAATGACTATCACAATTGTATTCTTTAAGACTAAGGTGCCAGCTCCTCAAGTTCACAGTCAACGGATTTTCTACTTCTCAGTTGATAACGTGGTGTTCGTGGGTGGCCAAAGGGTAATAAATTACTTCTTTGCTAGATCACTTCTTGATAGTAAAGGAGTATATATATTTTGTCAGGTTAACTTAAACCTAGTAGGTAATATGGACCTCTCTGAACTGAATGTGGCACAAATACGTAAAACAATGTATAAAACGATAGATTATTGTATAGGCGATCCCTGTAAGATAGTATACAATCAATCTAGACTAGTGAATACGATTGTTTTCAAAGGCAACTCGTAGGCCTTCACTTTCTTCGTGATCTCACAGTGTTGAGACAGAAAGTGGGAAAACTCCTGACTTCAAATTCCTACGTTCCCACACGGTTTGGGAAAAGAATGGAAGGGGAAAAACTTATATATTATGTGAGAATGGAGTCCTTATATACATTTTAGAAACCATCCTTACTAAGCAATGAGTCATCACTGGATTGGTAAGATTATGCTTACAAACCAAGCCTTTTGGTGTGCGGAATCAGCTGCTTACTAAAGTACATGAGTAAAATATTACAAAGCACTGTAAATATTACAAAGCATGACGAATCATGATAAAACATGATGAGTCATGGAAAGTCCTTACAAATCAGAATATTACCAGTCACATGACATGCTTACAAACATATCTGAGTGGCTCACTGATGTAATTAAGTGGCTGAATAAACATGAACAAATAATGGAAAGAGACAGAAACTACAAATACAACTAAATAAATAGAAACAAAGCTTATGTAAGTAAGAAGTATATCCTTTGTACACTCCTCTACTTATCTCCTTTTATACTGCTATTTGTATATGTCATGGTATGAACTCCATACAATGCATGACACCGGGTGCAAAGCCAGCACTTCCCTGTGAAGTGCGATAGCCTCATCCAAGTCTTCGTCATTGCCTCAATGGTAAAAGCAGGTGGAGAGTTGAGCTGCAAGGTTATTTAATGATGAGGACTGATCTGTGTTACTGACCGGGCACAAGGCCAGCACCTCGCTGTGAAGTGCAAGGGATGAGATAGGCCGAAAAAATAGGAGGGAGGTCAAAGTGTGGGGCAAAAGGAAAGTGACATGGTAATGGGGTGGAGTAACTGCCGAAAATGAGGTAAGTTGAGGCAGTGAAGCTACATAAAGTGCACAATACATGCACCTCTGCAACTTAGAGAAAGACGCCCATAATCCCTCCAAAGTCCACGTCAACCATGCCAAATGCCTGACGAATGATTGTGGGCTCGTACAACAAGACACTTCGTTTGTGGGACTTGAAGATAGGTGTTTTGTTGAAGAAGATGGAGGAAGGGTGTGGGTATTGGCAGTATCACAAGATGGACAATTGATAGTAGTAGTCTAGACTGATGTAAGTAATTAATGCACCTTACTGCAGGCCACGGCAGTTGCCACAGCAGACAACCATATATGGAAGTGACAGGTACGCAGGTCATGGGTCTCAAAATTCCAACCCTGCACCCATACCCGCCAGTACCCATACCTGTGACCCATGGTGGGTTACCCATACCCATGCTAATGCCTACATGGATGGCCTTTCGAAGGTCCTCTGAAATTTTTGCGTGGTTTACAGTCTTAAAACAGATCCATATCTGCCACAATGCCAGCAGATTGCCAGCCAAGGGGTCTACTGAATATTGGCGGCCTTGACATCTAACCAGCCTTCCACACCAAATGGCAAAAGCACTCAACATCTCAGAATTATCTCTGGTGATGTTGCAAACCCTCATTGCATGATTACAGCTGTGCATTAAGGTATGGTGAGCAAGATTCTGTCACTGTCCTCACTTAGTATACTTTGTAGGACTGGAAAAAAGACTGGCATTCAGCCATATAATCTACCTTATCCTGGTCGAAAGTGAAACTTTGCTGGCATGACGTCACTATATCAATTTTATTAGAAATGACTGTATGGTCATTGAGGTCTGTCTATGGGACACCATCATCATACCACAACGCTGGCAGCCTATAGGTCCGTAATACATCATATAGTGATAACTTGCACATTGGGCTGAGGCAAGCTATTCAGTGTCTGTTGTGTGAGGGACAACCATCTTGCCCAATGCCAAGGAATCGATAGATCCTCATATGCATGTGACAGGGAAAAATTGCTTGAAGCAGTTTTTCCATTCACAAAGTGCCTATCTAGATCTTATCAAACATTGTTCATGTTGGAAATCCTTATAGCATATCTTTCATTTTTCATTTGATTTAGACTATGCCAATGGAGTTACCATATTAGGTAACTCCATGTACAATACATCTTTGCCCACTGGTCTCTTATACTTGACTGGGGATCTCACTTGCATTAACGATTCTATCTAGCCCAGCGCTCATTTTCTATTAGTTCAAAGTCAAAAGTCAAAGTATATGGGGCAGGTCCATCATACACACATACTTATATAATTGTATGATCTATCGGCACCATGGACTGATCTGCACAGTAATAGTATTCTTTTTGTCCTTAAATGTCTTTCCCAATTGAACGAAAACTACGCCAATTCCACCTATGTTTTCCTGACGGCGCATTGATCAACTCCACCAATTACTAGTAGGAGCAGTGTATCCGTGACCATGTCCCCTCACCTAGTATCCCCATCCACAAGTAACTTGCGTGTTAGTGCCAATGGCGATACTGCACCAATGTGAAAGCAGAAATACGACTCACATAGGGTCGCAGAAAGGAAAGTTCTGCCATGCAGGTGAGTCATGTTATCAAATCCTGGAAAACTGTTGATACTCACCGTAACTCACGCACCATCCCCCCTCCAGGCTGCAGGTATAGCATTAGTCATCATACCAGCAAAAGAAGTCACATCTGTCGGCGTAGCATCAATGGGTGTGGCAGAGATTGATGATGTTGGCAGCAAGGACAATTGCAAAGGAGAAATGCATCGTGTGTGAGGATGTTATATGGAATCAAATAAATCTGAAGGGTTAGTGGGAAAACACCTTGCATTTATATGCTGAATAACGTTCTTTATGGTTTTAAGAAGAACCTATCCATCATTGATCCACTGGAATCCCCTTGCTGGCCCTGCAGTCGAGTGATTGTCCAATATTTGAAGGTATCCTGCGTGGTTGTGCTGCATTCAACCACATAATATTTGCAATGCCAGCAGATGTACAAGCAAGGTATTTTGGCGATTTGGCGTGGAGCAATTAAAAATCCCTCATTGCCTTCCTATTTTTATTCTTGTTGAGGCTAAGCTACTAAGAGACACACTACTTCAAGCTTCAGATTTCACACTTTGGTTCGTCTCTCCTACAACCTGAGTCTACTGATTCTAGTCTGTCTATGCATCGTCTCCTTCGCTTGCATTTCCTTGCATGTGTCAGATAACAGTATGGTCTTTCACTTGCTCATCCTAGGCATGAGTTTGATTATCATCTTGCTAGCCATCTATAATGTAGACTGTCTGTTTCTTGGCGCCTGTGTTATGTGCTGCAGGGCGCATTATTAGAAATTGATGCAAAGGTTTGGAATCAGTAGTAGCTCGCATGTACTGCCCCACTTACGAATGTACATTCTACAGGCACATATCTTTATTATGGGCGATCTTGCGCTTGGCCTGCCAGGACAATCATTTCATCTTGCCAAGTAATCAACAGGTGGTCACAATGTGTCCGGAACAAAATCATGTGACACAGCCTGAGCTTTTCCATCCACATAGTGCCTATCTAGATCTCGTCGAATGTAATCAAGAAGATCTTCCTCCTATGATATAGCCTGACTAGGGGAGACTGGTAGTTGAACGATTCTTGAAAATCATTCAGGGGTCACACCGCGATAAAGAGTGACGCTTTCACAACACATCTTTCCCTTTAGTTATTTCAATGTCCGTCAATCTGACTTATTGGCATGGCAGTCACCCGCGCGCGCTAGTAGGTGCTTGATATATAGGTCAAGACAAATGTTAACTTGCCCTTTCCCTTCAGAATCAACAAGCTCATTAACATTGCTGTCTGCTCACGGTGTTAGCAGGAAAATCAAAATCAATAGCCTCGACTGTCTCGAGCAACGTTACCGCAGCGCTTATAGTTTGTCTTTTCTTGATGAAGAATTAGACACCATGTAAGCACTCCGGAAAGTCATAGTCTTGCGGTCGCGAGCTGTAGGTGCGTTTCAACCCTTTGATGTCCATCAATCAACCTGGAGGTCCATTCCATACATGTCCCAATCGAACGAAAATTACGCCAACTTCACCCTTATTTTCCTGACGGCACGTTGATCAACTCCATCAATTACTAGTAGAGTGGTGTATCCACGACTGTGTCCCCTCACCTAGTGCCCCTATTCATTAGCAATTTGCGCATCAGTGTTAACAGCTATATTGCATTGATGTGAAATCAGAAACACGAATCACTATGCAAAAGGCAAAAGCGACGACAACGAGGATGAAACGCATTGTTCGTGACTTGTGTGATATGGGATCAGATAATTCTGAAGGAAAAAATACGAAGACAACCAGCTTTTATGTGCTGAATGTTGTTCTTTGAAATTCTTGTTATGTACGTGGTTGTGCTTTCATATCTGCTCGCCATCAAGGTCTGATATAAATTTGATCAACAATCAAAGTGAAAGGTCGAAGGAAGGAGCTGTATGGGGACCTAAGTGTGTTTTTATTAGGTCCATTGTGCATTGTACGATCTACAAGCCTCTCTACGGTAATTCAGCAGGAGCAACAGTCACTGACACTGCACCGCGGACTGATCAGCAAGCTCCTCAATAGGATTTTTTGTATCCTTACACAGCATACCTAACATTTCCCAATCGAACGAAAATTACGCCAACTCCACTGGTGTTTTCATTACGGCGCGTTGACCAACTCTACAAATCCTTAGTACTAACTCACGTGTCAGTGCCAACGGTCATACTGCAGTGATGTGAAAGCAGAAACACGACTCACACGCAGATGCCAAGATCCGTGTTCTATGCAGGTGGCATGTTATCAAAGTTCGAACCCAGTAAAACTACTGATACTCACACATTGCCGCGTAACACATTCCGCCTTGAAAAAAGGCTTGCAATCCGCGTCACCCTTGCAAACAGCAGGACAGCCACGTGCGCCAATCACGTCAGCAGGCATGGCAGATATTGATGATGCTAAAGCAGCAATGACGACGAGGATGAAACGCATTGTTTGTGACCTGTGTGATATGGGATCAGATAATTCTGAAGGAAATAGTGGGAAGATGACTGGTTTTTATGTGCCGAACATTGTTCTTTGAAATTCTTCTCACGTACGTGGTTGTGCAGTCAAACAGACCCATTTCTGCAATGCCAGCAGTTCTTGCCAGCTAGCGTCGGGAAGCACCAACTGCTCGATTGGATATGATTGGGTACATTCTGGAAGCTTTGAAGACAAGAGTGGGGTGCATGTACGCACTGAAATGCTGGGAGGGTTTACTGTCGAGGACGGCGGGTATAGTAATAGGGTACATTCTTGCTGCAACGATAAACGGCCAACTTTTATGTGCTGCTCTTTTCGGAAATTAATTTATTCGTATGTACGTGGTAGTGCCTTCAATTTGATAAACGATCAAAGTGAAAAGTCGAAGGAAAGAGCCGGATACGGGACCTAGGTGTGTTTTTCCATCATGTATTGCATGATCTACAAGCTCGTCTACATTCAGCAGGAGCAACAGTCACTGACACTGCGCCGTGGATTGATCAGCACGCTCCTCAATAGGATTCATTTTGCGTCCTTACACTCACTTCCCAATCGCACAAAAATTAAGCCAACACCGATGTTGTCCTTACGGCGCGTCGATCAACTCTACAATTCACCGGGACTAACTCGCGTGTCAGTGCTAACGGTCATACTGCAGTAGCAGAAACACAACTCACGTGCAGATGCCAAGAAAGATGTCCTATGCAGGTAGCATGTTATCAAAGTTCGAACCCAGTAAAACTACTGATGCTCACACATCCCATCAAAATACATTGAATCATGGAGGTCGAGCAATCCCCGTTATTCTTGCAAACAGTAGGACATTTATGTGTGCCAGTCACATCAGCAGGCATGGCAGAAATTGATGATGCTAAAGCAGCGATGACGACGAGGATGAAACACATTGTTTATGACTTGTGTGATATGTGATCAGGTAATTCTGAAGGAAATAGTAGGAAGATGACCGGTTTTTTATGCGCTGAACATTGTTCTTTGCGATTCTTCTTGCGTACTACGTAGTACGTAGGGAAACGCACGGGTACGGGTAACACCGCGGTTCTATGCTGACGGGTTTGGAGGGTACGGGTACGGAGTAGGATAGTCGTACCCTTGAGCATACCGTGGCCATTCACCGCGGGTTTGACGGTGTTTGGCGGGTATAATATACCAAATCGGGAACCAGGCGCGCGACAGCCATTGAACACCGTGTTTGATTCTCTGTTTTTCCTTCCTCTGAGAGCTTGAGGATCACAAGTGAATGCTATACTGATTTCTGTCATGTCTTTTGTACCCCCGTGAATCATTCTAGCAATTTATTGAGCTGACACTTCGTTGCAGAGAAGCTCGAGTCACTACCATAAAGCCAAGGCAAAAACTCGAGACCAGTAAGTCCACTGAGTCGTCTCCCCATGAAAACTAAGCTCACAAAGAAGGCATCTGATGCTTCGTCTACCCAGTCACACTCATCATCTAAGTCTATCTCGTCGTCCATCTCCGAGAAGGCCAGGTCACTCAAAAAGGCTGTTGCAAAGGGTGCTAAGGCTCTGGCCCGCCCCTTGAAGAAGGTCAAGCAGTCATTTGTGTCTCGGTCTTCTCGATCGAGCCCCACAGACACCGTTGATCTTACGCGATCAAGTACTGATTCACTTGCCACTGACGATAACAAAGGATGACTTTGGTGACTACTCACTTGGTTCCATGTCTCGTACTACTAGTAGCGAGTTGGATGAGTTTCTTCGATTACCAACTGTGAAAACCAAGGACCCACTCGCATGGTGGCAAAACAACTGCCGTGCTTATCCAATGCTGCATCGGATGGCACTCGACTATCTCTCTGTCCCAGGTATGTCTCCTTCGAATCCTCTTTCAATCAATCAATACTTATATCTTGCTCAGCAACATCAACTGCGGTTGAACGTGTCTTCTCGCAGGGCCGGCAGCTCCTTCATTTTACTCGCAACCGACTCGCACCATCAACAATTCGTGCCTTTCTCTGCCTCGGAGCGTGGGGCAGAAGTGATCTTCTGGTGATGGAGGACCTTTTAGCCGCTGTCAGGACTCAAAAACGGAAGCGAAATGAAGTCGAAGCAGAGGAGAATGACAAGGAAAAGTAGTACTATTTTATTTCATTGTTGTTAATACTTAATACACTCTTCTTGGTAATGTACCCGCGGTGTTCAGAGACACCGCGGTGTTTTCCATAAACCGCGACATTGACGGGTCGGTGTGTACCCGTACCCGTGAAGGGTACGGTGTTGGCGGGTGCGGGTGCGGTGTCAACTTTCCGACCCTCGGTGTTACCCGTGCGGTACCCTAGTAGTACGTGGTTGACCGTTGTGCATTCAAATAGATCCATTCCTGCAATGCCAGCAGTTCTTGCCAGCTAGCACTGGGAAGCACCAACTGCCCGATCGGGGATGGTGGGATACATTCTGGAAGCTTTGAAGACAAGACTGTCGAGGACGACGAGTATTACCGTGCGGAGCACGGTCACCTACAATGTAGCGTGACATGCAGATTCAAAACAACACCAAACAAATCTGATCAGTTATGGTATCGAGGGCAATCCGACACACTCAGAACAATGGCGTCATAATGAAATCCATTCTCACAGATGCTGACTAGCTGATACGTGGTCCATTATTTTCTTCCCTTTAACTCCTCGATGCTTCCACCTGATTCCTACACATCTGAGACTGGCTGAAAGATTGGTGGCTGAAAGTGGCCACAGACGTTCCAAAAAGTGTCCTATGCAGGTGAGTCACTGGGATGTCATTAAAGTTCGAACCCAGGAAAACTACTGTACTCACGCATGGCAAGTTAGAGCAGCACTTGCAATCTGCGTCAGTGTAGCAAACATCAGGACATTTAGTGGCGCCAGTCATGTCAGCGGGTATGGCAAAGATTGATGATGCTAAAACAGCAATGACGGCGAGGACGAACGCATCGTTAATGACTTGTGTGATGTGGGATAAGATGATTCTGAAGGAAATATTAGGAAGACGTATGTGCTGAACATTGGTTTTTGAAATTCTTGCGTACGTGGTTGTGCATTCAGACAGATTCATTTCTGCAATGCCACCAGTTCTTGCCAGCTCAGGTCTATTGGCAATGTGGTGCGGAACTACTGGATATCCGTGTTTCCATATAACTGTACAGTCTACGAGCCCGTATACGGTGATTCAGCAGGAGCAACAGTCACTGACACTGCGCCGTGTACTGATCAACACGCGATTCTTTTCGTGACATCGTGTCCTCACGCGTCACATCTAGCATTTCTAAAAACGAAAATTACACCAAATACACCAATGTTTTCCTGACGGCGCGTTGATCATACTGCACCTATGTGAAAGCAGAAACACGACTCACGTGCAGATGTTCGAAACGGGGTTCTATGCAGGTGACTAGCATGTCATCAAAGTTCGAACCCAGGAAAACTACTGTACTCACGCATGGCATACAGCAGTCCTTGCAATCTTCATCAGCGGAGCAAAAAGTAGGACATTTAGGGGGCCAGGTGCCAGTCATGTCAGCGGGCATGGCAAAGATTGATGATGCTAAAGCAGCAATGACGGCGAGGACGAACCACATTGTTAATGACTTGTGTGATGTGGGATTAGGAAGACGGCTGGCTTTTATGCGCTGAATATTGGTTTTGGGAATTCTTCTTACCTACGTAGTTGTGCATTCATTTCTGCAATGCCAGCGGTTCTTGCCAGCTATAAGGTCTATTAGTAATTTGGCGTGGAACTACTGAACATTCATGTTTCCAATCAGCTGTCGACTCAGGACAAAAAGCACTCAACATGATCTCGCAGCAAGGTTGTGTTCCTGTTGAGGCGATGGCCCCTGGCATTCATCAGGCGTCAGGCGTCAGCTCGGTCCGTCTTGCATTTAACTTAACCAGTGCTGTTTTCCAATTTTCGATTTTCGGCGAATCAAAAAAGAAAAAGAAGTATGCATTTTGTGTGCGGTCTCGTGAGGGTGAGATGGCGGGGCATGCATGGCATCATGGCAATAGACTCGTAACCAGTCTTACCACTACGTCTTTGAGATGTTATGTAAGTTGACGTACCTGATGAGTCTAAGAATAGTTGTCTATTTTTCATGCCAAATTTGTCACGCCTTTTCTGTGTTCTGCTTCCGCTGCAGTGTGAAGCTCTATATGATATCATCACTTGCAGCGGAACCGCCTCTTACAAATATCAGCACCGTCAATGTCTCATCCAATGCATCGGTCTTGTCGTGTTCTCGAAGTTGAACAGCTGGAACGGCACTTTAAACGGCTCGACATTAACACGAAGACTCGCTGGGGCCAACTTCAAGTGAACTTTAACAACGCCAGACATAACTTGAAGGGGCTGCTGTATAATTCGACTCTGGAGTAGACCGAGCTCTCTCGACGTTGTGTCTCCCTTCATTGCACTGAACCGACGCGAATTGCGCGGCTTGAGTAGCGCTTGAAGTTAACGTCTTGGCCATGCTTCTAATGTCCTTCGGAGTTCTGCCAAAGGATGAGACTCCCATTCCCCTCTCACACTCTTCTCATTGTTCCCCACCGTTGTTCACACTGATTCAAATCCACGGCCACTCGCGATGAGTGAAAACTATAGGCCAGATCCTCCTCCAAGAACCTCCAGATCCAGCCGGGCAGATGTTGCTGAAAACTCGGTATGTGGTCTCCGAGATCCATCTCTGTCCTTGTGCATTCTTCGTCTAGAACCGACCTCGTAGAGGAATCTGTCAGTTCATGCGGAAAGTGAAGAATGGATTAACCAAAAAACTTCCTGTGCGTAGACGTGAATACTAATTGTCCTGAATATGACTGAGATCGTGCAGAAACGCTTCAAGCAAACACGCAACCGCACCACTACGGTCCAGAACGTTGAAATCGAGGGGGCTTTTTCGAGCCAGAAAGTCGAGGTAAGTACTTGAACTTGCTGTCCTAGTCCTTCGGTTTTATTAGAGGCGCCCAGGACACCGTGCATCTCCATCCCTCCAACGACAACAGGCGTCCCACCACACTTGAGATTCCCAGCGACTCCATGAACCAAGGGCTGTCTGGAGAGCCTGCTTCACAGGTATTTTCGTCGAATACCTTGACTTTCCTCTCTAATTTTGGCGGTCCCATAGGCTCAGGCTGCTCATTCTGGCGAGGAGGAAGGACCTAATCACCAATTAGTCGACGCTATACTTCAGGGTGCCTGTGACGGTATGGAAAGCACGAGACTACTCGGGGAACATGCGACCTCTATGGCATCCGCCGCCAATAATGCTCCAGCGGGTCTCGCTGCTGTGGATAATTTCGAGACGACGTATCTCCAACCCTTAAAGATTAGCAATGCTGTCCTTGAGAAGATCGTGGATGTATAGTCATTCTTGTTGATTGGAAGCAAACTAATCAAGTTGTGTAGGTACATCCGTACACAAAGATAGCGCTGGGTGTGCTGTCTGCCGCATCCAATATTTACGTCCTGTTTCTCCCGGAATCCGGTCTCTTACTCAGAAGTCATAATTCCATGCAGATTATAATCGCTCAAGCAGAGCGTGACGAATCGATCTATAGTCTTCTCAAGAAGTTAGCTGAAATTTACCGCTTCATGACTCAAGATGACAGCCTTGGCAAAATTGAATCGATGCGCGGAATCGTTGGAAAGATCATACAGCAGACTCGTGAGTGTGCTCGTTTCATCAGGAACTACTCGGAGACAAAGAACTTTTGCGAGTCATCAAGCTATCGTACTTCGAATATGAATCTTATACTATTATCGTAGGGAAGCGAGTTAGCAAAAATTTTCTCTCCGAAACCGATGGCATCATCAAAAAGTACAGCGACACTTTGGACGGCCTTGTACAACAATTCCGGGACCAAGTTGATTGGGACGTGATCGTGTTCGTCCAACCTACGGGTAAGGATTCTGACACGCTGCTGTCTTTACATTCACGCACACCGTTTCAGGCGATACCCTGGATCTCGGGGATATCGCTTATGCAAAGGGCGCAGGACTAAATACCATGAAACAGTGCCTACCAGGGACGCCCACAGAGATTCTCTCCTAGATTGCGGATTGGATCAATGGCAGTGGAGATCCTACTAAACGTGTACTGTGGCTATCTGGCCCTGCAGGCACGGGCAAATCGGCCATCGCTCATACAATTGCCAAGTGGTTCTGCTTCGATAAGGCCGAGAAACGTCACGAAAAAAGTTTCTCCACCATCGCTCGTGACCTAGCTGATCATGATCCAGAGATGAGACGAGCATTCACGGATGCGGTCGAAGATTCCACTTCACTCAAGAACTTGAAGGATATTTTCCAGTAGGAGAGGCTTCTCATGAAACCATTGAAGAAATTGATTTTGGGCTATGCATGTTCAAACAACGGACTTCAACAATGAGTTTGCAAAGGCGATTAGATCATTCTTCGACAACGAGCGACTGTTCTTCTGGATCGAAGCACTCGGACTTCTCAATGCAATCAGGGGTGCGATTATTATACTTCCACTCATTGCAAAGTGGCTGATGGTGAGCACATGCTTACGAGGCAGTGTCAGATGGAAGCTCATAAATCAATACAGGGCCATTCTGGATACGAAGATTTGTGGACCACGACAATGGATGTACAAAGATTCGTCCAAGTGTTTGGCGGCATGATTTTGCACAGCACGCTGCATCTGTATTTATCAGCGCTCCCACTCTCGCCTGTCGACTCCGTCATGGCTACCAAATTCATGGCAATGTTTCCGAATAACCTTCGTCTGGCATCCGGCCATGATTTGAACTAGATGGTTGTTCAGACCGTAATCAGTGCGCACACTAGTTGGGTTCGATCAATTGCGTTCTCACTGGATGGGACTCACATCGTGTCTAGTTCGGCGGATAAGACTGTGCGTCTGTAGGATGGAGCCACGGGACAGCCATTGGGTGAACCCTTCAAGGGGCACATTAGAGAGGTTTCGTCAGTGTCGTTCTCACCGGATGGTATTCGCATCGCGTCTTCAAGTTGTTCTTTGGACAAGACTGCGGCTGTGGAATGCAGTGACAGTGCAGCCATCCCCGGTGCTCAGAGAGGCAGATTCTTCCACATTTCGCTGCATCGAAGTACCGTACCTCATACCCAAGAACGCTGTGCCATGCCAACCAACACTTGTAACAATCACCTCATTTCCTTCTCGTCCAGCCTGGAACACGCTCTGCCCAACTCCGCTGACTTGCTTGAACCTACTTCTCATCATAATTCTAATTCAACCCCTTTCTTGCCGCAGGTTGATGGATGGGTCATGGGACCCAATCATCGGCTCCTTTTCTGGGAGCTTCCCGCTTCCCGACATGCATTTTATACTCCTTGGACTTCATTGATGATACCCAGAGGATATCCCGAGCTTGATTTGAGCCGCATGGCACATGGGACACACCGGTCGAGTTGCCGAGATGCGTGAGTTCTTAGTCTTCACCATCCATCCTCGCAGTTGCTAACATCAGGACTTTTAGCTATAATTTTATTGCCGCAACATCGAGTGTACCGTTTGATTCTTTGATTCCTTGTCAATTTCCATACCTAGCATCGAGCGTGAATTTACGGTTGTTCGACTGAATGATGTGCTGCACTAGTTGATACGTACTACTCTACTTAGTAGGTACGTTCACAGTAGCGTTTTCGGCCATTTTCGTCATCTTCTGTTTTCGACTTTCCAGTGAACCTAATATTTCCACATGTGCGGGAAGAGAAAATGAGAATTTGACGGTATTGAAAATCGACAGTGATGCGAAAAATCCAAGCCAATATACATGGAGAGGGTCACACGAACCAGGTCCGCAATGGTAACAATGAAAAGTTTGTTACCCAATTAACTCCTAGTACATTAACCCTATACATTAACCCTAACCTTTCCAAAATCGCAGATCCATTTAACCTCTTCACATAACCAAAGCTATAAAACCCTTATCGGGTTAGCAGTCTGCACTGATGTGAAAACAGAGACACGGCTCATCCGCAGATGTTCCAAAAAGTGTCCTATGCAGGTGAGTCACTGGCGTGTCATTAAAGTTCGAACCCAGGAAAACTATTGTACTCACGCATGGCAAGTCAGAGCAGCTCTTGCAATCTGCGTCAGTGTAGCAAACATCAGGACATTCAGTGGCGCCAGTCATGTCAGAGGGTATGGCAAAGATTGATGATGCTAAAGCAGCAATGACGGCGAGGACGAAACGCATCGTTAATGACTTGTGTGATGTGGGATAAGATGATTCTGAATGAAATATTAGGAAGACGGCTGGCTTTTATATGCTGAACATTGGTTTTTGAAATTCTTGCGTACGTGGTTGTGCATTCAGACAGATTCAATTCTGCAATGCCAGCAGTCATTGCCAGCTAAGGTCTATTAGTAACAAGGACTCGCCTTCGGTCTTTTATAGGTATGATTGTTGATATTGAATCTGTCATAGCGCCAGAAATTCTTTTTATCAACCTGATACCTGCAAGGCTGCTTCCGTTTTGAAGACCGACAACGCCGTGAAATGAAGCAGAGGTCGCCATATATGGTGCTGAGCAAAGAGCTGCAAAAGAAGAGGGAGCATGGATGCGCAACAACACAGCATGACGTGGTGGACGCGGGATCTCGTGCTTATAGATGTTGTAGATGTGATGTGGAACTACTGAATATCCATGTTTCCATATGATTGTACAATCTACAAGCCCGTCCACGGTGATTCAGCAGGAGCAACAGTCACTGACACTGCGCCGTGTACTGATCAACACGCGATTCTTTGTGTCCTTACACGTCACATCTAACATTTCTAAAAACGAAAATTACGCCAAATACACCAATATTTCCTGACGGCGCGTTGATCAACTGTCCAAATCACTAGTAACTCACGCGTCAGTGCCAACGGCCTTACTGCACCTATGTGAAAGCAGAAACACGACTCACGTGCAGATGTTCCTAATGGGGTTCTATGCAGGTGACTAGCATGTCATCAAAGTTCGAACCCAGGAAAACTACTGTGCTCACGCATGGCATACAGCAGTCCTTGCAATCTTCATCAGTGGAGCAAAAAGTAGGACATTTAGGGGGCCAGGCGCCAGTCACGTCAGCGGGCATGGCAAAGATTGATGATGCTAAAGCAGCAATGACGGCGAGGACGAACCGCATTGTTAATGACTTGTGTGATGTGGGATCAAATGATTCTGAAGGAAATATTGGGAAGACGGCTGGCTTTTATGCGCTGGACATTGGTTTTTGAAATTCTTCTTACCTACGTAGTTGTGCATTCATTTCTGCAATGCCAGCAGTTCTTGCCAGCTATAAGGTCTATTAGTAATTTGGTGTGGAACTACTGAACATTCATGTTTCCAATCAGCTGTCGACTCAGGACCAATAGCACTCAACATGATCTCGCAGCAAGGTTGTGTTCCTGTTGGGGCGATGACCCTTGACATTCATCAGGCGACAGATCGGTCCGTCTTGCATTTCACTTAATCAGTGCTGTTCCAATTTTCGATTTTCGGCGAATCGAAATCAAAGCAGAAGTATGCATTTTGGCAACATTTTGGTATGAAATGTGTGCGGTCTTGTGAGGGTGAGGTGGCGTTGATGTCACCGTCCGTTTGGGGGCATGCATGGCATGTCCAAAGCTTCTAGACTCGTAACCAGTCTTTGAGATGTTACTCCCGCTACGGCAGTAGTGGGTTTTGTTGTTTCATCGTCGAAAAACCTCATCGATCAAATTGTTTGGTGAAAATGCATTCCTGTCTTAAAATAGTGTTTTATTCGCACGATCATGTGAGACTGTTTCTAAGTCTCTGTGTATATCACCTCTGTGTCACCATAACCGTTACTAACTAGTAACAGTGATGCTAATACGATGTTTCTTACTAAGTAGGGGCGTTTACCTATACTGCAGCGCTTCAGCGATTTCCGCAGCACTCAGCAGTAGGAAAAAAATCCTTGGATATAACCGGTAGGTCATCCAAGTATATATTTAGCCGTACGACTATATTTAGGTTGCCCGCAGTTCGGGGTTTGTATGTCACCGGTCATATTACAGCTACCTTCATATCGATAGACCGGAATCTATTCACCGCTTTTGTTTACTGGTGGAGCTCGACAAACAAAAGGGTCCTGCCTATCACGATACTTGGTTGGGCGAGATATCCCAGAATGGTACTGGGCTGTGCAACTTCTATGATACGGTACACTGTTCGGCGTTTGACGTTGCGTCTGACACCCCTCTGTGTTCACTGCTAGTATGACTATTTATCACCGACTCATCATGGTATGTTTAACATCGTCTCTGTTACTGATCATGCCAGCATGAGCTCAGCATTAGTACTTGCAGGTTTCAACATGCTCCACTCAGGGTTAGCAACCTGGTCATCGACGGCTTTCTCGCCTTCTCGGCCTTCTGACAACAGAGCCTGTGAGACGAGAGAGCCAAAGAAAGTTCAGTGGCTTATGTTAGTGACTTGCGCTATGGCCTTGGATGGCATTTGGGCAGACATAGTGACACATTGTTGCTTTATGGCTGCTGGAATATGACGGCAGTTTCTAACCATGGTGAGAATGGTGTCCAAAGACAGAGAAAGTTGCGCAGTCCCATGCCATTCTGGGGTATCTCACCCGACGAAGTATCTGAACAGGCAGGTACCTTTTGTTTATCCAGCTCCACAAGTAAAGAAAAGTGTTGAATGAACAAAAATGGATTCTGGTCTATCGATATGAAGGTAGCTGTAACCGGCCTGTCCTATTTATCTTATTGTTCATTCGCTCGTTTTTTTGGTCTATCAGATCATATGATTAGCGCTGGCTCCCGCGCTGTTCACGGTATTCGACCTTGACGACCCGAGGCAATGCCTCAACATGAGGGAACAATCCATCAATACGCAGGAGCTGTCTGTGAAGCTGTTTTTTTCGCTTTGCCGCCGTCTGGAGGATCGCATTCAACGTTTGTGTTGGTCGCTGATGCATTGATAAGTTAGCCTTCACTTCCCCGACTTGCATATAAACCGGAGGCTCCCAGTGCCTGTCCTCCAAACGAGCGAAATCACAGCACTACCGCATCATCATGATGTCACTTTAGTGGCGTCAGTTTTCATGTTCTATTAATATTGAAGTCAAACGGTGTTATCAGAACTACCGGCCACCGTGAGGGGCACTCAGTGCCGTCCTTAAGAATGCTCTCTTGAGGATTGTGGACCTGCACCCCCTGTATCAAGACATACTCCTCTGCATTTCCCCCCATTACTAACTTATACTAGTTATTTCACAATGCCTGCTCCGTTCGTACGCCACTCTGAAGTCGATGTTCTCATTATTGGCGCTGGCCCTGCTGGGCTCATGTGCGCGAATGCTCTGGCAAATGCGAGAGTGGATGTTCGGATTGTCGATCAAAGGTCAATGAGTCGATCCCTTTCATTCCTGCTTGTAACTTAACTATCCGTTAGGGCTTCCAAAGTAACCACTGGTCGGGGTGATGGAATTTCACCTCGCACTACTGAACTTTTGCAGGTGAAAATACTTCCTTACTGACCAAGACTCGGTATTGACAAGCTGGACATAGAGTTATGGACTTGCAGAGCGCTTTCTAAGGGAGTCTTGCCAACTCCATCTAGCGGTATGCCTTTCAAGACGGGCTTGCAGAATATATAACTCATTGCATCTTAGGCCTTCTACAATCCTTCTTCGACTGGCGGTATTGAGGTCCGTAAATTCCGCTATCAACGAAGGATATTCACCGAATTTCTGCCATTAGTTTACGAACAGAACATCAGACGTGACAGCACCGTCTGTCAGATACCCATTCGAGGTGTGTTCATAATTGAACAGAAATTATATTGGCTGAACGAGATCAAGCTTGCGCTCAATCAAGGAGCCATTCAAGACATTTTCTTAGATTCCATGACACCGCTCGGTGTTGAGGTTGAAGCTATCGACGATACCAACTTCGATAGAGCTCTCCAAGGATGAAAACGAGCTGACTGATCCTACGTCATATCCGGTTCGCGTTGTGCTCCAAAGACTAGACTAAATCTAAGGATGAACCACAAGAAGAAATTGTCCACGCTAAATTTGTTGTCGGTGGTGATGGTGCGTTCCGAAGATGTCGATCTAGCGATTATAATCATTTTCCTTGACAGGCGCTCACTCATGGATCCGCAAACAATTCGATGTTACGATGGATGGAGAACAGTCTGGTGAGTATGTTGGTTACTTGGAATTGTCAGCGAGCTCAGTCTCTATCGATAGATTCCATCTGGGGTGTTGTGGACATGGTCGCGCCTGACACTGACTTCCCGGATATTAGGAACAAGACCCTCATACGTTCTAACCATGGCTCAGTTTTTGTCATACCTCGAGAACAAGATCGAACTCGCATATATGTACAACTGGAGGACAAAGATTTTATCAATCCAGTGACAGGCAGGCCAGACAAGGAAAAAGTGGGTCCAGAGCAGATTCTTGAAGTAAGCAGCACCCATTATATGATCGGCAGTCATCAACATTCTCCTTAGACTGCCCAAAAATCGCTTGAACCTTACAAGCTTATCCGGAAGAGTGAATTTGTGTGGTGGACAATATATAGCGGTATGCATCTTCCTACTTGCTATGAATTCTTGTTTGTTCAACATTTTTGCTCAAGTTGGACAACGAGTAGCCTCACAGTTTTCCATCAAAAATCGAGTATTTATCGCTGGCGATGCTTGCCACACACACTCTCCGAAAGCAGGCAAGTGTCTTACATCTGGTCCCTTCCCCTGGTCTGGTTACAATGGAACTTTCAGGACAAGGGATGAACGCAGCTATCAACGATAGCCATAATCTAGGTATGTCTTCTTTTCCTGTCGTCACGATCAAGCTAAAGCACTTTCTCAGCTTGGAAAATTGCCCTAGGTTGTTCGTGGGTGGGCGGACATGGCCCTTTTGTCAACGGCAAGTTCTTGTAGAACTATTTGACTACTTGCTCACGCCCCGCTGGTAGTACGAATCAGAGCGCCGTAAATTCGCATTAGACCTGATCGCGTGGGATAAAACTGTGGTCCACCCTTTGCTGTGGCAAGCCCTTGACTGAGCAGAACAGCGATGGGGTTTCGCCCGAACATGTCTTGAAGTGAGATTATGCTACCAACAGTCTTGTCCTTTGCACTAATCCTGCGAGTTTGCAGGACTTTCCAAACAGACTTCACCAGTGGCGTCGGGATACATTATCAACCTTCAATTGCACAGTAAATGACAGAAACCAGGAGCTGGCTAGTGGTCTCGTCCTCGGTAAACGTGTCCCTCCATACAAATTCATGCGTGCAGCAGACGCATGTCCATTCGAGCTCCAGGACCTTCTTCCTTCGGACTTCCTCTTCAAGTTACTTGTCTTCACCTGGTGAATTCAGCGATCCGCTTCAGCAAGCGAGGGTTGAGTCGATGGTCACGGACATGCAGAAACCCGAGAGCTTTCTGAAGCGTTACTCGACGCCTGGGAACTCACGATTTGACATCATCACGATCAGCAAAGGCCGGAAGGAAACATTCAATTTCTTGCGGACTCCCCTACGCTTCTTCGCTCTCATTGGTCAAAGTCCGTACTTGCTCATCTGTGTGAATTGCGATAATATTGATCGAGGATGCTCTTAGGGTAGTTTATCGATGATACCGATCCCACTGGTAGCTTCGGGGGAGAAGGTTACTCAGTATTATGGAGTGGGACCTGAGGGCGCTCTAGTTGCTGTTCGTCCTGATGGCTATGTTGGAGCCATCGCGCCACTTGATCGCGTTGGGGGCCTTGATGCATATTTCGCGTCTTTCATGAAGATTACCGCTCAGGCTTAACTTCAAATGCTGCTTCGCTGCTTTTAAAGTACCATCAGCTATTTCCATATCCTCGAACCAGACCTATTCACTTGTGCACTCTATGCTATAACACGCTATTCTTCGTTCTTTTCTGGAGATGAGCCGCCGACGTAGAGGTGATGGAATTCACACCTTTGAAGGGGAGAATCACGTCTCAAAAAGAGCCGAGCTTGGCTGAACAGTCGACGAAGAGTAAGAACTACCAACGCCGACTACTTCTACTGATTACTCAGAGGACTGGAACTTACCCCCATTTGCAACGTCACAGCAGATGATAAAGTTTCATTTCTCTGCTCGAACCGAATTTAATTTCATCACATCGATGCACTCTAAAAATTGAAGTTACTCGATTTATATGGTCCGTCCGATTCCGGGCCCTATAAGCAATCCGAGAGCCAACGCACCATTAGTGTGTCCGATCATAGCGGGCGGCCGCCCTACTGCACTGGTATAAGCATCACCATGTTAGTGATATAAATTAAAAGTCAAAATCAAACTCTATTTGCATTAACATGAGTGTGAAAAACATGCTGAGAACAGTGGAGGGTTACACTAAATGCGATGATGAATGACGCATTGTGACCAAGTTGCCCTGCCATGCATATGCATATAGTGCCAGTGTACACCACTATATATATAGAGTACTTGCTGGCGCGGCTTGTGACGATAGTGATACCAATCGCGATAAGGGAACTGTACAGTAGGTGATCTGGGACACACATGGTGAGTCACAGCACACGTATATAGTATGAATCACATGGCAAGAACATCAGGAAGGCGAGGCGATTGTACCTGGTCTGTTTCTGATAACAACTCGCATGACACAAGCGCTAACGAATAGACAATCATCATAACATCCAATATGACATTGCAGTGAGGAGACAGGTTTCATTGCTTAGATCGACCGAGCCTCTCATAAGGATGTAAACTACTGAAACAAACCTTCATATCGGCAATTTACGTTGTGGAAATATCATCCACACTAGCCGGTACCATCAACAGACCGCAGAGTCTGATATTTCGTTTCTGATAACAAGTGCATCAGCGCACAACACAGGCGCCAACAACAAAACAGTCACCAAAACATTTGAGTATCTGGTATGATGTTGTGGTGGGAAGGCTAGCGGAGCCTACTGGAGGCCTCCCACAACGATGTAAACCGCCGAAACACTCTGCCAACTTGTCATTGGGGGCTTGCGTCGTGGTAGAAATAACATGGACAGAAGTTGATAGCATTGAGGCCACTGCATTTGAGTCGTTCAGACACCGCGATGAGCACCTCGCAGGATGCAAGACGCACATCTCGAGACGTGCAACGCAGCCAGAAGCAGGGATGCTTGTAATCGGGAATAGAAAATCTGCGCACATGACATAATATTGAACGTTTATTGATACATGCGAGGAAAATTAGACGCAAGACGAATCGATCTGACGCTTGAAGAACGCCAGGGACCTTCGCCTCACCAAGAACCACACAAACAGGATGGCGACATAACTGTTGCCTCCGGTCTTCCAGTTTTACAAAGTATGCAAGTGAGCGTGATAGATTCTTGTTCAACATACCAATATTTAATGTAAAGCTGTAACCATTCGTGTAACGCTCACACTGCCAGTGTGACGTAGACGGGCTTGTACAATTACAATTATAAGTATATATGCGCATGAATGGACATAATAAAAACACACCTAGGTCCTGAATACCGTACAGCTCCCTACTCCGACTGTCGACTTTGATTGTTTTAACAACGTTCGACACGATCTAGATAAGCAGGCACTATATAGATGGAAAAGTTCAGGTTGCGTTACATGATCTCTTCCGGGCGCATCGTGAGCATCCGAGTTTATTGATTCCTCAGCAAGATGAGATGATCGTCTCGGCAGGCCAGGCACATGATTGCCTATAATATATGCGCCTGTAAAATGTACGTTCGTGGATATAAGAATATGTGCGTACGATATCGATCGATGGCAGTCAAACACACCTAGTATACAGCTCCCAACTTTAACTTTCGACTCGTCTCAACAATCATTTACATTTTCGCCGAATCCTTATCTTCTAAGACTCCTTAGAGGGATGCCGTATATCTGGGAAAGGTGCTCCGAGAAAATCACCATACCCACCGTGAGCTGCGAGCGCCTCGATCCAATTCTGAATTATGCGGCGAGGCAGTGGTTGTGGTTGTCCAGGAGTCGCCACATCATAGCAAGAAATTCGCATGTAGATCGTATCACTATAGCTGTACGTGCGTACATGGAATTCAAAGAGTAAAGAATAAATAGTTGAGAACACACCTATAGCTATATGCTACAGCTCACGAGTCGTGAATGTCGGAGTTCTGGCTGGTCTTGGTATAAGAGTCGCGACTCCCATATCCCATGCGACCATGCCGTTTTCCAGCTTACACTTATACTGTGTTTGAAATGCAAACACCGTGAGCATCATGACTGGGCGTCTTGCATCAAGGAACGCAGGAGGGGGCAAACTAGGTTGGTTATGGCGAATGTCACTCTTTCCCGCGGGGCCGCCTCAATGATCACTGTGAAAATGCTGTGCCACTGCTGCGGCAACTGCCGCCACCGCTCCCAAACGGTGAGCCTAGTGCGCATCAATTACTAGTACATACTACACTTACTGCTAGTCGCTGGAATTTCTAGTGCTTGTCCTCCAAATGAGCCAAGTTACGTGCACGTGTAACACCTGCCTCCTCATGGCGTTTGTATTCGGCTCGATCCACAACATCTGATTACCTGCAGGAGTCTGGACAGCAAAGGAGTGGTTAACAACGGGAACATACCCATATACGTGCACGTTCCGAATTGATTGATCAGTTTCTTTCAGTGATCACGATTAAGTCTTACATCGTGCCCATCCATGGAAGCTCAGACTCTATATCTACGTCTCCTAGCTGCTGGCTCCAACGTTCGCGTTCAGCTAGCCTTACTGGTTCTGACGAGGATTCACATACTTTCAAAAAGTACCGCTTCATAAGCTGCACAGAGGGCACGCTTCGCTCGGGATCTTGCAGCTTGCGACTGGATCAAACCACACTCGCATTGTTGGAGTTTGGTGACGGCCGAAGGGAGCTTTGGGGGTGTGAAGACGGACGCAAAGGGTAGCTGGGTCCTGAATACACGGGACAGTCGACAGAATTCACGCCGATCAGCTATGCCCTTGTAATAACTCACACCGCCCAAGGACATACCTGTTGTCTGCTGCCACTTGGGAGACATCATATCTTGTTTTGAAATTGCCTTCCCGACCATGTGTGGTCGTCTCGATGGGTTCGAATGATTTTGGGGCACTCGGTGTGGGCACAAAACAAACCATAGCAACTCCAGTAGTCGTTTCGTTTGATCACCTTGCTATCGAGGGACGCTCTATCAATCCAAGTGAGTCCATTGTCGAGTCCATTGTTGCAGGACCTCGTCATGTTGTACTTCATGTGCGAGCCGTTCTCGGTGATGAGCATACGCTCGTTGGCTGGGGTTTGGTCGGACATGGCCAACTAGGGGACATGAAGATCGTGAACTATGGCCGCTCTCATATTTTTGCCTCGATAAACAGCCTCTGGATCCAACAAGGAAGGTCAACTCCAGAGAATGAATTCTTTGGGTGTGTTCGACAGGTTGGGTGCACGGATCTTGTCAACTTCCCACTAACTTAACCTCAACGCTCACCCCATCCACCAAGTGCTTCGTAAATTCTTGATCGTGTTGGAGTGGTGCCTTAAAGCTGAGAATCTGTGTAGATATTTGATTCTGCGGCAGAATCAAACATCTACACAGATTCTCATTCACATTGCTCACGGTCGGACTGAGGAGAGTACTTGAGCAACTATACCGCATCCTGACGAAGAATTCGACGCGTTCTGGAAGACTCGGCCGCAGGCAGGTGCGTTTTCAACTGTTTGACGTCGTGCGCATTTAGACAATTTGTAGTTAGGTCCATTTCCATCCTAGGTGCCGGCCAATGTGCATGGACAAGCACAAGTACAACCGCAACCGCAACAACCTCGCTGCATGAATCGAGCTGCTCATGGTGGGTATGTTAATCTGCTCAGAGCGCCTTTCCAGACGCCAACTCTACCGATGTTTTCCTGATGGTACGATTAATCCACTCTAGTAACTCACGCGTCAGTGCCAATGGCCATCATGATACTGCACCGATGTGAAAGCAGAAACATGATTCACTTCTGTGAGTCTAGTTGCAACTGCGCGAGAAGAACTTGGTGATAAATGCAAGTTCGAAGGGGAACGATAGATGAAGACAGAGGCATTTGAGAATGAGACATTGCCATTCTGGGGGTGTTCCGCGCGAACTGTATCGTGAAAGGCGGGACCCTGTTGTTTGTTCAACTCCACAAGTAAATAGAAGCGGCAAGACGAGAACAATCGAGATATCTGGTCTATCGTTGGAGGTTGATATGATAATTTAATTTGTTCATCGGTTCGTTAACGTTCACTGATGATAGAATTCTTTTTGTGTCACGTCATATCTAACATTTTCCAATCGAACGAAAATTACGCCAACTCCACCAATACTGTCCTGATGGCGCGTTGATCAACTCTACAAATCACTAGACTAACCCACGTGTCAGTGCCAACGGCCACATTGCACAAATGTGAAAGCAGAAACACGACTCACTACGCAGAAGGCAAAGCCGGGGTACTGTGCAGGTGAGTCACTGGCATGTTATCAAAGTTCAAAGCCAGGAAAACTACTAATACTCACGCATAGCGTCGAACCGCAGGCCACGCACTGTGCATCAGTGTAGCAAGTACGGGGACAGTCTGTGGCCATGGCAGGGATTGATGATGCTAAAACAGCGGTGACGACGAGGATGAAACGCATTGTTTATGATTTGTGTGATACAGGATCAGCTAATTCTGTAGGAAATAATGGGAAGACGGCTGGCTTTTATGTGCTGAACATGGTTCTTGAAAATTCTTTTTGCATACGTGGTTATGCCTTCAAACAGATGAATATCTGCAATGCCAGCAGTTTTTGCCAGCTAAGGCTATTAGCAATTTGGCAGAACTATTGAACATTCGTGTTTCCGATCAGCCGCTGTCAACTCGGGTATACCATTGAAAGCACTCGACATCTCGGAGTAAGGTTGTGTTCTCGTTCCCCTGGCATTCTTCAAGTGTCAGATCAGTCCGTCTTGCGTTTAACTTAACCAGTGCCGTCTTCCAATTTTCGATTTTGGCGAATCAAAGCAGAAGTATGCATTTTGGTAGGAAATGCGTGCGATCTCGTCACGGTGGAGTGGTGTTGATGTCCGAATTGGCGAGGCCGATCGATCTCGGAGTAATTTGGCAGGCAAAGTGGGGAATTTGCAATTTGCCAATCAGTAATTAATCAGTCCCCGAAACATCCATAAACGAGAGCAAGCACCGACTCTGATGCCCAACGATTGCCTCTCAATTCCTTTTCAAGCAGCCATCCCCACTCCTCAAGTGTCTACCTAAATCCTGTTGAACATTGTTCAGGAACAATCAAAGCCAAAAGTCAAGACCTAGGTGCATTTTTCTTAGGTCAACCGTGCGCATATTTGCGATCTAAAGGCTCAGGCTCGTCTACAAAGGAGCAACAGTCACGGACGTTGATCTGCGTGGTGATAGGTCTCCTTGCGTATCTAGCATTTCCCAAACCAACTCCACCGATGTTTTCCTGACGACTCTACAAACCACTGATAATTCCCGCGTGAGTGCCAACGTCCATACGATGTACAAGCAGAAACGCGACTCACTGTGCAGAAAGGAAATTCCTGCCATGCAGGTGGGTCATATTATCAAATCCAGAAAAACGACTGATACCCCCTGACGACTCAAAAGACATCGACGAGCGTGAGTTTCGGCAGCGGCTGTACCTGGGCGTGGGTGGGGGTGTACCGGGAGGTCGTTGTGTACCATTCGCGTTAGAGGTATTTTGTACGGACTGAGCGCGCGTTTGGGTCTGGGTGTTGGTCCGCGTCTGTAATGACGATGAACTGCGAGATGTACGAGAACGAGGAGGCGAAGACATAATCGGAAGTAGAGGCCCCGATGGAAGGAGAAGGGTGAGATCCGGGCGCTTTCTTCAGACGAGTTTGAGGATGAAAAGGACGAGTGGGATGGCTGCTTGAGGTGAGATGAGGTGGATGTCTTGGGCTGGTGCAAAGAAAGGCTGGGAATTCGTCGTCGTCGAACTACACTAGGATTGGTCCTCTTCTTCGATGTCGCTTGGGACACGCCCACCAACGGAGTTGTTTTCGGGAGAAGGAGTGACTGTGACATCAGCACCGTGACGAGACGCGGCACACATTTGCTACCAAATTGCATACTTCTGCTCGACTCGATTCGCCGAAAATCTAAAACAGTTTTGATACTGCAGCACGTACGTGCTTCCAAACTCACACAGCAGATCTTGCTAATATCAAGTGGAAGCATCGTTATGAATCATGATACAAATATGACCTCAAGTCATGTGATCAGCCAGTACGAGGCCAGACTCGTCGACAGAATGTAATTGGCGGAGGGATTTTCAATCGCTCCACCCCAAATTGCCAACAGACCCGCAAGTGCATTGCAATCTGCTGGCATTGCAAATATTATCTGTTCCAATGCTGCACGACCACGCAAGAAGATTTCCAGGTGCTTTCAAAGCTTGGACATTCACTTGGCACGAGGGGATTCTGGTGGATCAACAATGGGTAAGTTCCTCCTAAAACTCAAGCATACCCATAACCATTATCACATCCTCACACACAATGCGGTTCTCATTTGCAATTGTCCTCGCCGTTGTTGCAATTTTTGCATCATCAATTTTTGCTATGCCCACTGACGCTGGCGCCGGGTTCTGTACCATCTTTTCGGGTACACTAGAGACTGCGGCACTTTTTTTCTCCAGCATTGCGTGAGTTTCAGTGGTCCGTGTCTTGGATTTAACCACATGACTCACCGCACGGAAGTTCTCATCTGTATGTGTGTCGTTGCTATTTTGACACGGTCCTGCTGCTGTCGTGACGCGCCGCTGCATTCATTACTTAATAGCTATTAGCTGGTCCGCAAGCCTTATTGCATGCTTTGAATGACTTATGTTGATAATACTGGACCTGTTATCAGTTTCCCGCCAAAAAGGAGGTTTTATCATCTGTGAAGTCCCTTAGCTACACCTCGCAGTCAAACTGTAATGGAATGATGGAAGACGGCACTGGTTCCTTAATTATAGAGCGAACCATATGTTGTCTACGTCATGATGCGGTTCAACCAGCGGCTAAAAGGCTAAACTTGAAGTGACTTTGCCCGAGGGACAAACACCACGGTAACCTGAGTTTGAGTATCTATATTGCACTTTCTGACACCTATACTTCCCACATATCCAAGTTAGTAAAGTGGCCTTACTGTAAGGTTCTGGCCACTTAATAAAGCCTTTTTACCTTCCTATGGAGCACAGGCAGTGTGCACCAGCAGTTCCCTTGTACTTACAGTGATTTGCTCAACAGTCTTTTTCCCACCATTTGAGTCATCACCCTTTTGGGTAACATCATAGCACTGAGGCGATCTCAACCTGGCTGGGCTGATATGAAATATCTAAGAATGCTCAACCAGTATAAGTGAGTCTTGGCTCTGCCTAGCTGCTATACTCGCAGAATGCAAGAATGTTCGACCCTAAAGGGGACTGCTACTGAACACAGAACCAGATGAAAGAAAGACCCTTGTAGTGCAATGGATGCGCGAAAGCGCAAGAAGAAAAGCGAAGTGAGCGCAAAGCGCGAGAGAGCGCACTAAGGTAAGCGCGAGCGTGGGAACGTGAGCGCTAAGGCGCGCGTTGTGCGGAAAATACCGGATAAGGAAACGGATAAGGAAGCAGATGTGCAAAGCGAGTGCAAATGCAGAGCGAGTGCATCAGGAAATAGCCCAGGCCTAGGTTTTTCTAGTTAGATGTGATCAACGTAACCAAACATGGTAGATAAGGATCAATCATTTTAATTCTTGACTACGTGATAGCACTTAGACATTCAATGTCTACTGAGTTATGATACAGCTCAATATTGATTGTCCTTGGGATTCTCCTGTCACTACAGGCCTCCTAGGTGATATTCTGGCTTGGGGCTACCATTTTTCACCTTTACTTATCTCCAATTGTCTTGTGTTCACTTTTTGGTGGCAGTGTTAGAAGACGTGGCCATACAGTAGCACATAGATATTCAACGTCCCCGTGACTTATGATACAGGCTCAATATTGATTGTCCTTGGGATTCTCCTGTCACTACAGGTCTCCTAGGTGATGTTCTGGCTTGGGGCTACCATTTTTAACCTTTACTTGTCTCCAATCATCTAGTGTTCACTTTTTGGTGGCAGTGTTGGAAGACGTGACCGTACAGTAGCACTTAGACACGCAATGTCCATGAGTTATAATGTAATGGACTCCACATCGAAGCCATGTACTGTCCGCTGATTGGTAGCCCTCGTGGAATCGGATATTTTGATCTTTAGTTAGGAATAAGCGTGAAGAAAATAACATGCTATTGCATGGATAAACTATTTCGTACAAGTGAGATTTCATATGCAGCTACATGAGAACAGCAAGTTAAACGAAGAGCAGCAATAAACCAAGCGAAACCGTTTTCAACATCGGCACTATCATCGCCTTGCTCCAAGTTCGCAAAGGTCGAGAATGCAGCAGGTCGGTGATCCTCTGCCCAGAACAACAACGGCGTGTCCGTTGACACTGTTCCGCTTGCCGAAATCCTTGGACTCGATGAGTTAGAGTTCAAAAAGTGTGTGGTATCACTCACTGCCAAGATAAGATCCTTCATTGCGACCTCAACCTTGATCCGTTCATCATCTGTAAGAGTGGGCCAGACGAAGTGTGGTTTTGGTGAGAGGTAGATACTCATGGAGTCGGACACGTAGTCCAAGAACTTGGCATGAGTATAACACTCGATATCATGGGTATCGAAGTCGCCCCAACGAAGCTGAACATCGATCCAATATTTATTGCTGGTTGTGCCATCCAAAACGTCCTCGTTCTAAATAAACGGAGCGATCAGATTAACGTCCAACCAGGTATGGAGGATGACCTACGTCTGTAACCAGTGAAGGCCGAGAGATGTTCCACCTGTAGACGTGCAAATTGAAGTTGTGAAAGTAGTACAATTCGAGGGCGCAACATGATGTTTTTAGTTAGTCATTGCGTAATCAATCAGCTAATGTAAGCCAGTGTATCCTGATACTATCAATCACTGCCCGATATCTAGTACTTCACTACTTAATCTCTAGAGCACCATGGCATCTACTCTGGCACCACCTACTAACAATCAAATCAACAACAACTCACTCGTAAGTCGTTGTATCCTCAAGTTGTACTCATTAACCCAACCGTCACTAGAATCAGGTACCCTCGATTCAACCTGACATTCCAGGCCCGCTGATCATCAGCGATTCAGCAGTTGTATGTTATGAATACATTACATCAATATGAAACTAACCTACGGTTGTAGGGAGTGTGGAATACTGCCATCGAAACAGCCCAATACCACATCCAGAATCATGCCACCATGCCGCCAGTTCCTTTTCCGACAACCGTTGAGGAAAAATGTTGGGTGACTCTGATGGCGTTGAGGAGAGAAGAAGACCTGCAGGAGACAACTAGGTACTTGGAGAACGCGTGGAGGGAGCTGAGAGAGGTAAAGAAGTTATTGGGGATTAACAATTAGGATCCCGCATAGTCCACCTGTGAACGTCTTCGATGAGCTGAAGCTGAGGGGAGGAAATTATGTCTTTTCGCGATAAACTGCTCGCGCTTCTGCCTTCTGATCTCAACCTGTTGCTGCTCTCTGCGGTGTGATTGTCTTGCTTCAAATCACCTTTATTCTTATAGTCTGATCAAACACGCATCTTCAGCAACCGATATCAAGATAAAAAATTGAGACAAGTATACTGGCTCTGCGGTGTTCCATAGTACGTGACTCCATGACTGGATGGCTGGATCGAAAATATCAGTGTAGGAGCTGAAGCTGATGGGAGGAAATTACTGTCCTTTTGCGATATTCTCCTCGCGCTTCTGCCTTCTGATCTCAACCTGTTGCTGAAATTTTTGTCAGGCGAGTCTACAGCCGAAGAGAATAGAGGCTACCGGAGGTGAAGCATTCCCAGGTCTTCCAAAGGGTTCCTGATGAGGCTGAGGAATGTTGCACCTGGAGGCTAAGTCAGATCGTTCGTTGTTGGGACCATACCGCTGGGGGGTGGGTCGTGTGCGGGGGCATCACGCCTACTGCTAGACGAGAATGGATCAAGAGGCACGCTTTGGACACCTAAGATGTTCGTCGCTCGACTGTCCTCTCAGTGGAGGGACGCGACCCTGCACACCAGTGAAGGCGCTATGACCCTGCGTGGATGTGTTGTGAGAGTCGACGCCAAAAGCCAAGGATGTTGCTGGAGCAGCAGGCTCTGGCATCATATGCCTTGATGTAAACCGTGCGCTATAGTATTATGGAACATTCAGCGAATGGTTCAATGGAAGTTATACATAACACTAACCTCGTGGCTGCTGTGCATTCCCTTCCACGCCTTGGCTGCACAGATATGTCAGTGCCAGATACATCATGCGATTTATTAAATGATACGCACCGATATACCAAAGGCAAAGTAAGAATCCATGCCATTCGCTATCGTTATCCTCATCAGAGTTCCCGAAAGAAAACATTGTGGAAGGCTCGTGAACGGGAGGCATCGGTTCTGGCTCTGGTACACGGGAATCACTGCGTGCTTGGTTCGCTTGTATCGACCGTCGCAACGAATCGCGGTATATTCCAGGCGGGAACATATCCAAGTTAACGCTGCTAGAAGGATTAGATCTCCCAGACGTGTCACCGTTCGACACCTGTGGTTGTTCCAAAGACATGCGTGGTGGAGAGCGCGAGTGAGCAGCACGCAGAGTGTGCAGAGGTGGTGTGGGTGGACGATAAACATATGGTGGCTGCGCTGTCTCCCTCAGCTGAGTTTGTTGAATCCGGGATAGCATTGATCAGGGCGAACACAGGGTCAAAGATACTGTCGGGTGAGTCTTCAGAAGAGAGGTGATTGCGGTCTCTTGACAGAGATCTGTTAGTCCCACTTCTTGTCTGCGGATGTCTGTGTTCGGATAACATCTTGGAAAATCGTGCTCTCTCCCATTCGTTCAAGCCTCCTCATGGAAACTGAGAAGGTGACCCCGGACCGTTTGATGCGAACGGTCTTGAAGGAAGGTCACTTGTTCGACCAGATGGCAAAGGGTGGGAAGATGTAGTCGATGAGGAGTCCGTTTGACTGGCTATAAGACACCTCAAACGAGCAGCTGCAGTCAAACTTGAAATGTCTGAACTGTCTTGAGGAGGCTCGTCAGAGCTGGTACGTGAAGCAAACAATTGAGAGCGAAGATGCGCCCTGGCGTTGGTGCGGCGATGTTCTGCGGCACTCTCTGATACTAATGAGTTGCTGGATACTGTCGTAGCGGAGGAATGCAAGCGGGAATGAAGGCGATAGCGAGCTGGAGGATGATTGGGCGGCTCATGGCGGGAAGGCGATCCAGACAATGAACAGGCTAGATGAGAGAGATTAGTGAATACAGTTCACATAAATGTGCTGCACCTTACCAGTTTCTACGCCACGCTCGGGTAGACCGCGGGCATTATGAAGACCTTGGATGATCTCATGCACACTGTCTGAATGGGAGGGGTCGTCATTGTCTTCATCATTTTTGCCGGCAAGATCATAACGATTATGAGCCGTGACCCTGCGTCTTCTCTCGTTATCCATGGAGTCCTCTTCACTGAGACCCTCTACGTAACGGTCAAATGACAATTCTGCTTCATCCGAATCTTCAAATCCCTGTTCCTTGGAAAACAAAGAAAAAGCCGCCAAGAGAGGACGAACTGGTGATATTTGTAAATAACAGGAAAAAATAACACTTAAATCATACCTGAGTTGCACGAGCATTCGATAACTGTTCTAGCACGTGCAGCAACCTCTTGGTATCTGTCAGCAGAGCACGAGGGAGATGAGTCATTGTCCTGGATTGTATTCAAAGTTACTCGAGGCCGTTCCTCATCAGCAGCGTAGAACTGAGAAATGGAGTCTCCAAGCACTGGAAAAATAGTAGCTTTTAGTCAATATGATCATCACTTGTGTGGGACAGAGCACCAACCAGAGGATGATGCAGAAGCGCTTGCTGACGTACGCGCAGTACTCGATCTCCAGCCAGTATCTGAATGGGTAGAACGTCTTGCAGCCTGCGGCCTAGCAGCTAGATCCGAAGTTGGTTGCTCAAATACGCTGTCAAGCAATCCCGGACGTGACTACATCTGGCGAGGGCGCAATTGGCGGCAAAGGACGGGAGGAGGTAGGAGCACCCCATAACAGATTTGACGAGCCAGAACTTGACCCGTGATGGACATCTTGCCTGCCGTCGGGTCCATGTAAGGCATCAGTATTGTTTCTTTCAGTTTGCAGGACTGACGGTACAGAGGCAAGTGATCCACTGGAAAACTCATCAGATTCTCGTGTAGATGCGTTCGTCCTTGCTGATGAAGAGATCGATGGGGGTGGGCGGTATGAATGATGAGGAGGGGTGTTGGACGAACATGTAGAACTGGAGACATTGCTTGTAGTATAGCCAGGACGTAATAAGCCTGATATGTTCGGTGATATTGCGTGAAGACGGAAGGCAAGGGCGTCTACGAGGTTATACATTTTGTCAAACAAATCTACAAACGTTACGATCAGCGTGGCCTTTCGAAGAAAAAAGAGCAGACATACCAATTAACTTGTTCTCAAGGGTGAACCGGATGATGGGTAGAATGACCTCCTGCACCTGCGACAAAATCTCAGGCGAGGATTTAATGCACGAGACAACCTGCACAACTTTATCAGATGCTTTGAACGAACATGATGGCGAGAGTACATGCACAGTCCAAATAGTTTTAGGAACTCCCAAAACGTCGTTTACTTTATCGTCGTCGCCATCCGTCACGAGAGATTCCACATCAAAATGCTGTCTGGAAATTGTTTTCTTCTGCTGTGCCAGACCCTCTTTTGCCAGGCGTAAGTAAGATTTACACTAGATACATGCTGTCAGTGTATCATATTAGCATCTACAAGACAAGGCTCACCAGCCGTGCAGTGAGCTGCGACACCACAGGCATTGTGAATATCAAGGTCCGTTTCATTGGAGAGCTTGAGAAGATCTGTAACAGCCACCATCGAAATCAATGAGTGCGTTAATGGGTTTGGACACGAAACACACCTTGCCGCGGGATGATACGAGACCAAGATAAGGAAAAGCGGTAGGACTTGACGCCAAACTGAGCAAGTAATGCAATGTCCTCCTTCCAGAGCCTGTATGAATCAGTGGCCACATCCCCGTCTCGGCCGTCCATTCTCTGTCCAGGTTGCTTGGAGAAAGTCGTCCCAGATAGACTTTCCGCGTCCATCGACATTGGCAGATCCTTCGATCTGAAAACCCGCTGTAAAACACGTCATTGCTTGATGGCAGTGGTAAAAATTGTGAAACGTACCAGTAGAGGGAAAAGGTACCTGGTACATTGGGTCGGTTTTGGTGAAGAGGACAACGAATGGTTGCCAAGTATCGATACGTTTGACGAAGAGGGTGATGTCAAGAAACTTGCAGGTAAGCGCGGATGATGTCCTCAGTCGAGGCGACGAAATCAGCAATCTGCCCATCGGAGAAGCCCATGCGTTTAGCATGCTTCATGAGTTCATGGTCTATTTCTTCAACGAAGCCAACTACCTTGATTCTGAGGGCGATTTTAGCAGCAGTGTAGGCAAGCGGATAACCAGTAGCTTGAGACGCAGAGCACTTGAACGACATAGACTGATGAAAGTCGTATTAGCATAGACAAATATAAAAAGAACCATGAACGTACCGGGCAATAACCTCGATAACACAGTATTCCTTGGACATGGGGATTAAGTGCATACTGGACGAAAAAACCAAGGGGCAAGACGTTATGAAATGATACAGTGTGCATGTTAGCAGGAGCAGGAAGAAGAGTCTGGGCTAATGACGTTTGGGATTGGGATAGAGACGTTGGGACAACGCGAGTGATAGCCGTGGTGAATCTGTCACGAGGGATATCGACGTCTGGGAGGACGCAAGAGAAAGCCTCGATGAATCTGTCGAGTTCGAATTAGATGCAGAGCGCGAAGAAGAGGAAGGAAGAGGCGCAAAACCTAGGTTTGCCCCTGGGAGACGAATAGCTCTTGTGGAGCACATCATTCAAGGAGAAGTCTTTCCTGGTCATGCCATCGACCGGTGCTCTCAAAGATGGTGGTCGTCCTATTGGCTTGACAGGCATTGGAAGTTGGGTCGTGGCATCGAGCTGCAGCGCTTGCTGGGAAGGAGATTTAGCTGCTTCCGCAACATCCTGTATCAGCTTCACAGCTTCCGCTTCCTGTAGATAAAATGAGCCATGTAAAATGTTAGCCACGTCGCAGATACCTACTTGAGCATTCTTCTTCTCCTCGTTAGCCTTGCATTTTTCCTCCAATGCGGCTGCATTCTGTCGGGCACGTTCTTTCTCTTTCTCCCGCTCTTCTTCTTCCACCTGTCGTCGCTGTTTTGCGCGCTCAACTGAGATGTGCATGGCAGTTTTGTGAACGTCTTCGATGCTTAGCGTAGGAGTCGCGAACGAGGCAGGGGTTTCGGAGGTCACCGAGATGGTTGATAACAAAGGTGACTGACCAACGACGCTACCCCCATGAGTTGTGGTGGGTGAATCGAACGATGCCGAGAGGCAGACAGAGGTTGATGTGGATCTCTAGCAAAAAGCCTTCCAGTTGAAATATGGGGTCGAAGCTGCCGAGTGGTATCACACTTCAATAATGACGGTAATGGTGGAGGCCCCATGGTTGACAAATGGCAACCTCTGCTATCAAGCATAATTTTGCGTTTCTCAATAGGAGAAACGGATGGAAGCCTGTCCCAGTTAGGCGGCCCATTCATTGAGGGAGATGGTAAACCGTCACGAGACCTGCCGAAAGAAGTATAGTCACCAGGACCATGTCTCAATATGTGCGATGAGCGATCATAGCCACTTACAGTTTTTGGAGTAATTGCACTGGTTGTACAGGCGACCGCATTGGTCCATCTCGTCCACTATGGATGTTCCACTGGAGGTGGAATATGCTTTATATGAGCCTCTCCTAGACATCGGTGCCCCAGGGAAATGCCGGGTGTTTGGATGAGAACTGTATGGCTCGAGTCTGAGCATTCATTGAAAAGAACTCTTGAACCTTCCAAAGGCGAGTAGCTAGGATGCGAAGACGCAGGAGACATTGATGAATGTCGAGGAGTACGTGGTAGATCCTTGTGCACAAAGGATGGGGAAGGCCTAGATTCGTGGCCATCTCCGGTCAAAATCGTCTGCAATAAGCCTTTGTCCGAGAGATTAGACTATTCGCCAATATTCTCCTTTAAGTTTGTCAGACTGATGCGTGAATAGCACAAAAATTGTAACATACCTGTCGTCCAATTCGCATGAAGGTATACAAGAGCACACGCATGATCCATAGCAAAAAAAAAAAAAGCCGGAGACTGCCCAGAAGAGCTTTTGTCTCATCGAATATGCACATTCTTGGATTGCTTTTCGATGTCTCCCAAACGCAGACAGCTGGCCAAAATCAGGGCTGTCTGGCGAAAATTGACACACTGGCAGAGGGTAAAGTGGAAACCAAGCAGCTAATGGCATCTAAGGACGCAACACAGCGATGACCAACGCAGAGAGCAGAAATAGAGATAAGCCAGACAATAGCGGGAGTGTAAACAGGGTATGGTCCAGAGTGCGACCAGCCGAGGAATTCCAACCAATAGAGTGACAGGAGATCCACCGCTGTCCAAGAAGGAGAGGAGGCAATGGATGGGACGACCGTTACTTGACGTTGGTTCGAAACCTGTGGCTCAGATGGGAGCGGCAGTCATTGCTGCAACACTGCGATTGAGAAGTCAGCGTCATTGCAGGCAATGCGTACGGATCAGACAGAAAACATAGAAGAGCAAAGAAGACCAAATAACATCAATTGGAAAATCAAAAAGCAGAATCCTTGCTTATTTTCTCTCCCACACTGATATGGATAAGATCGTACCTGTGCTAAAAATTCTCAAAATCTGCTATCTGCGGCATGCCATTGTTATTGATGAGATGATCGGCAGCATTCGTGTGTAGGGTCACTACTAGGGTGTCACTCTGTGAACAGTCATAAGATAAGATTGAGTGAGGCAAAGGCAATCTGTACTTTGAAACAAGCGATACATTCTGGTGCTTGACTGCCTTGAAAACTTTTGATCAAGGCGATTAGAGGAAAGCCGGCAAGCCCTCCTTCTCGAAGTTATTATGAATAAAATAACATTTGAGCTACCAGGCTTTTGGTAAGATGGTGGACTGCTTCATAGACCTCTCTGATCATGATGATGAGCTGGTGGTATGTAAACAATTAACTTTGAAGAGGTAGGAGGGCCAGATGGTACTTGCCAGCTCTGCAACGGCATGAACCTCATTATCTCCACCTTGCATCAGGAGCACCTCCAGGCCTGCCACAAACTGGGCAGGAGGACAAAGTACTCAACCTTGAAGTTTTCTTGTGAACTGTGGAGGTGCCACCACCACATTTCTTAAGGGCGTGGTAAGACACCTTCAGATGAGGATCCCTGGTAGTCAGTTATCTTTGGTGAGCGTTTAAGACTCTATCCAGTACTCACATTGCTTGTGTGTATGTCGAAGGCTGAGACCTTCGACATTAGTGGAACTATAACAATATCCCAAACTGAACTTCAGTAAGGGCCGCCGCATCAGATCGTGCCAGAATGTAAAAAGAATGCTTGCAAGATATGCAGTGCTGAAGACTGGGACACACCTGATGAGTGTGACTCATCCAATTCCGGACTTTTCCGATGAGTATTCCGAGCCCCCACGTAACTCATCATGCGTCTGACCAGCATTTAATAGACAAGCCAAACAGGATTTGTACAGAGGTAATGGTAAATCTCGTGGTATTTGTTGTACAAGGTCAAGAAATGAGATCCGAGAAGGGACTAGCAAACATCCGATGGAAATACTGTGACTAGTACGCAATGGGCCGAGTCGAAACGTAGGAAGGCGGTACAGGTGAGCTAAATCTCAGAGACTTGGGGGAACTAAAGCCCTTAGTACTGTTTGGGACGACAATGCAAGATTGAACGATTGGCTGCTGTGTGAACTCGATAGGTTCAACGTCCGTCATGTTCCTCAACCTCTTCCCGTTCTCGTCTGTCATGATTCTTGGAAGACCCGACCTGGGAGCAATAGGCAGGACGTTATTCATCCTGAATGTAGAGCATGAGTATGCTCAAACAGCACATTAAATACGTACTTTATGAATGGGAGAGCTTGCACTGTATCCGTGAATGTCGGAAACATGTTTGGATAATTGTACATTTCATTCAGAGCTGACATGAGAACCCCGTTCATGACTTCTGGTTCAAGATGTTCGATCTTCTCTGAGCTGGCGCATTTTTCTTTCATGATGGTGACCATCGACTGGTAGAGCTGAAACATCGATGCAACATCTGTGAATTTGAGAAAACACGAAGGAAATACAAACTCACCAAAGTCATCAAATTGCACACCGGTTTTTGGCCCAGACAGCTGGAATCTGAAAAGATTTCTTCCGGAAAGAAATCGGCTAGCCTTGCACTGCCTTTTCCATTTGCTAACTTGCTGATTGGGTGAAAGAGTGATGCCCAAAGGAGCTCCAGGAAAGCATGTTCCCCAACGAGTTCGGAAATCGCCTTATACACCTGAAAAACGAAAAGTCATGAGCTAGTACGGTAACTGTGGTCTCGAGTCCCGTACGTCATTGATATTTGTCGAGTTGAGGAGAATCACGAAGTACATGACCCTCGTTCCTAGTGCATCGGAAGAGGCGCAAAAGTTGGTGTGTGGTGACAGTGCACCTTTGATAACCTTCCTTAGTTCCGCCTTTGAATTGTCAAATGCCTTAGCCAGCTGCTCGCATGAGTAATGGAAAGGCGAAGGCGAAGGCAAGAGAGGGCGTACATTTACACGGAATTCCGGCCACCCAGCAGAAATGGTGCCTCCGTTGGTAAATTTGACGGTTACTGATGAAATTGTGATATGATGACTGGTAGAATTCAAGATGCAAGGCACTGACCTGGTAGTTTCTTCATCTCGTCATAAGTCGTGTCACATAGATGAAGCGCGGTGAGAAAGATATTGGTAACTCGGTGTCGTACTTCCAACTGAGAAATCTCGAATGGGTTTGGGCGCTCTCCTACCCACATAGCTCCAACAAATATGGCCCTAGTGAGCATCACGATCCGCCACCAAGACGACTTCTTCATTGCGCGGGTGAGGGTGTCTCGTTGCTTCTTGTTTAAGGTTGCCCACACGCCATCCTTAGACCTTCTCCATTGTAAGTCGGGATGAAAACCCTCATGGACTGGCTCTCTGTTGAGATCATCATCAACTTCATCCCATTTGTCCAAAAAGTTCATAATAGCTGCATCGTCGACACCATTGAGGGAGGTAATAGTGGATAATCCCCAGTAGTTATAGCCACAATCGAGCTCTTGAAGCTCCGTGGGTGTGAGGTCAAAAGAAGTGGGGGCCAGGAGACCATCCAAGAGCGCGTGATCGAGAGCACTTGAATTGTCGGAGGGCAGCGCCTCATACGTTAGTTGTTGTATGGGGGTGGGAGCGGGAGGCAGATACCCGTTTGGAAACGGAGCATAAGAGAATTGAACTGATGCGTTCAAAAGTTCTTGAAGTTATAAATGTATCACAATGAAAGACGTGCACGACAACTGAGCACAGCACTCACGAGCCAAGTAGGCATTGGGATACCTCTGCCGTCAGCCCTACAGTACGTAGGTGTTATCGCACTGATATAAGCGCCGCCAGCTGGCTAGATCTGTCATTAAAGATGGGATGCTTGATATGACAAATGGCTCACCGCTGTTGTGAATAGCTCATGAAGGTGCGTAGCGTCCCCCTCGCCAGGGATAATCAGCCACCCAAGTTGCATAAGCTGACCAGTCCAAGGCTGGGCCACCTGGAAGGATTTTTTCGCACTACAAATAGATCACATGAGATTGAAACTTTGCATTCGAGAAGGAAAACTCACGTAGATGGGTGCTATTTGGTTGTGATTAGCAAGGTACCCTACAACAACATACGATCCTGTAGTAAAGGAGACGAATGGATGCTGAAAGAAAAAATAGGTACAACAGATTATAGTGGATGGACGGCAACAAACCTCCTCATGCTAGAGGAGAAGGTCGTCAGCATCAGCGAATCCACTGCATTCAGTCTTGTACTTACGGCAAGCTGAACGAGCTGAAGAATTTCGCCGATAGCGGGCACGTATAGCCACACAGTAAGAGACATTGATTGACCTGTGAGTACGAGGGTGAGGTGGGTAAGGAGGGAATTGATGGCAACCAATCAAGTTAATAAAGGCTGGCCATAAAGTACAAAGCCTGTAATACATTAGCAAAGGTTAAAATTGGGGTAATGCGTACTAATCTGTGTATTGGCCGTTACTTCTCGTTATCGCTAGTTGGTGCCCACCACTTCTCAGCATTGCTGGACGATACCCACCTGTATTGCCTGCCAATCCCTACCTGACAGTGACCGCTGGCAATCTTGATCAAATTGGTGGCCATCAATAATCTCCGGTCATATTATGTATTAGCCATCCTGGGGTCGTGGAGTCGCACCCATCAGACTACTAGGGTTCGATTGCTGTAAGATAACATCAATTTTCATAATCGAAAGCATGCCTCATGAACATATCATCTACTAGTGCCTCTGCGAGGGACCCCGTGCTTGCGTCCTGTCCTTGTTCAAAGAAGTCCCATTCTTCAACCCCAATATGACTCTCTTCGTTGTTTTCATCCTGTTCGTCATCGCTTGGGTGGCCTATCTCCATGAAGTTTTCTCCGCCTTCAAAATCGTCGTCATTCAGACAGGTGGCTGTCTGAGTGACTGATTCCTGTGATGAGCTATGATTATCTAATATACCTACCCTATGCAAGTACACATGGCCTACCCCGAGGCCATAATGGAACCTCATTAGTGTGTCACGATCTGCGAAACTGGTGGACTCGGAGTTATGATGATATAGATATGACTTTATGGGTAAGAGCACTCACCTGTTGATGTAGTATTCTAGCCAGTCATCTTTATCTCCCGAAAGGGAAGAAATCCCCCCATTAAGATTACGCCGGCCTCGAGCAAAAGCAGGGATTATATGGCAGGCTCTCAGAACTGCTCCTGGATCCACGAAGCCGAAAGCGGTTGGGTTTGTCAACGGCAGGAAGCGAACTCGTTCCAAAGTATGTGTTTCCCATGAATGGTGTTGTATCAGTTCATACCACCGAACAAAAAGAAAATCTATTCGGCAGGACTCATATACGTTATCTGAGCGCACAGCATTGATATGATGGATACCGAGCACTCTCGCATAACAATATTTGACATTGGATTCGTCACCGTGCTGGAGCAGCATGATGTTGCAATGGGGGGTCCGAGGATTTATCACGTCTTGAGCCCTTCGAACGTCGTACGTCGTATAATTAAATCTGACGAGGTTGTGGTGGTAGATTCTGTTGCGTTTGAAGAAAAGTTGTCCCTTGTCGGGATGGGTAGAGTTCTCCACTGAAGATCCAAGAGTCCCTATGCGGCCCAGGATATGATCCATCAAACGTGGTATGAAGTCCTGCATCATGATGTTAGAACAACGATCGAGCACCCCGAAAACCTTACCTTTATGGCAGGATCCCCCGCATGACTGCGTAGATAATGTCCCAAATTGTCGAAAATTTTCTCACTTCATCCAATATGATGGTGTAATTGGGGGTCGATCGCAGTTTCGTCAGCTTGCATACGAGGGGCCGGTGTTGCCTGCTGGTGTTTGATACGACGTAAACGATTTTGACGGCGCTCAATTTGAATTAGCTGGCGAACAAAATTTCTGCGATCGGTTCGACGGTATCTGCCTTTCGAAGTTCGGTGCTCTAACTCTCCCTTATAGTAATTGAGGTAGGGAGCAGACAGGGAGTAAAATATAACTCACTGGTTCTGTACTATACGAGTCTGTTGTGCCAAAGCGACAAATGGAAGCGACATAATCGCCTAACGCATGGAATCTGTACGTCTTCAGATTAAGCGACTTCTTCATCCTCGATGGCCTTGGTAAACATGGATCCTGCGACTGCTCAAAATTTGCCTTCTGTTTCCCTTTGGCATTATCCCCTACCCTCTTTTGAGCCGCTATTCTTTGCCCAACACCATTTGGCACGCTGCCCTCCGTGCGTCTGATAGCATCCTTTGTCTGCCGACGAGACCTCGCATCGACCTCACGGTCGAGCTCTTGTGTGTGGTATGCAGTGCATACCTTCGTTCTGAAGTGACGTAATTTTTACCAAGGTGGGTGGTTTGCTTGTCGAGAATCTCTAAGGTGAGGTCGGAATGCATGCGCAGTTTGGCGAGGCCATGCCAATGCACCATAATGAAAAGAAGATCGAGCAGAATTATGTTGTGAGCGTCAGGGAGGAGGCCTTCGAAGACAGGAATAGAACACTTGTACAAAGTTAGTCCATGAACATAAATGAGAATGGTCCCCGAGGTGTACCTGTAAAAGATCCTCAAAGTTGTGTGCCGCCATGTTCGACATTTCGGAGGTGTTGGTGGAGAACCGCCTAATAGTTGCAGGACCAAATGGAGGGACCTGCCTGTACCTGTCAGAGATGGAAATGAGTACCCCGGACGTCATGAAAAAACAAATTCGGCACCTCTTGTCAAGCTCATGTACTAAGTCCTTGTTCAATGCAGTCAGAATTCTCAGTAAATGAATCAGGAGCATGCACCATATCCCCAGCTCAAACTCATGAAGGAGATCGACGACAAGCGCTGCAAATACGTTGAATCCGAATGCACTAAGTTTGTCGGACAGCACATTCTTATTAAGTATTAGTTCAGGTGACAAATGAGACTAACGATTATGCTCACTAAATTCGGCACCCAGGAATCAGGTTTGAGAAGCGCCTCGACGGCCGTACTGTCAACACCATAATTTTTCTCATAGATAAGTTTGCGTGCAGTAGCAACGGGCTGATCCCTCGAGACGTTGGACCAGCGCCAGGGTTGAACGTTGTTGCCGATCACGGCTCATCCCCAAATTTTGAAGCCGTGCAGTTGGTATGAGACAGCGTGGGCAAGGACAGCCTCCCAGCTGCCGAATGGTTGCAACAAGGACCCTGGATTAGTTAGTTTAGATGGCTTACAGATAATGATCACGACTCACTTTTCAGGGTAATCCGCAGAGTAGGTAAAGACTCGCGGGAAAAACCTGTGTTTGATTCCGTCACAGCAGAGAATGACCATTCCATGTTCATACACTTCTAAAAACTCTTCGTCGAGCAAGATATTCCACTGAGCTTGAAACAGTTCACGTTGGCAATGCGTTGTGCATTCATGGCCAATCCCTTTGCCGTTGGTGTAAGTTCCCACAAAATCCTTGAATGTGTCCGGAAGCTGCCAAAGTGTGCTTCAATGGAGAGGATCTCGATTCAGGAGGAAATCGTACCTTTTGAAAATATGCGACATGGTTCCCCAAATTGCAGGATGGCCTACAGCGGCGGTACTTAGATTTGTTTCCAATGTACATATGAAGTGGCCACAGCTTCGCGTTACCGAATGCTGTCAGTTGCGTGGCATCTGACCAAAACATCAAAGCGACGACAACGCGGGGTAAATCACACCCTGGCTCTCCAGGAGACTCAAGGAGATCACGGTGGGCATCCATAAAGGCTGGTGAGGTGTAAAGCTCGCCTTGAATGTTGACCTCGCGGGGAAGATGGGGAGCGTTCCATCACAATTGGTAAGGTTCATAATGAAAATGCTCATCATCCTGAGCATTTGCAAGCTTTTCTCGAATGACGGAGGTGAGCGACCGATGGTAAAGTTCAGCTGCGATGTAAGGTTGAGGGCCTGGCTGAGCTACAGTCCGAGAGAAAGGTATTTTGATGTTGACTTGTGTTTTGTGCTAACCGACATCCTCATCCTCCCATTCCTCCCCCTCGCCATCGTAAACACTTGCACCTAGCTGTGAGTCTATTCTGCCCCATGGTGTACTCCGGACATCGTCAGGATTTAAATCTGGATCGCCGACAATATCAATAAGGTCCTTGAAACTCTGCTGGGACTTCTGCGTGCCTCCATGCCAGTACCAATGACCCAGCTCGAAGGATGATCGATTGGGGTAGGGGAAAAATGAAACATCGTCAGGCTCTGCGAGGGCATCTAGCTCAGTTGGGGCTATAGCCGGGACGTGACTTATATCTTGGAGTGTTACTGCTTCCTCTGGGTCGTGAGAAGGGGGGGTTGATGAAAAGAACTGGCATATCAACCCAAATACACTTCTAGCAGTATGAAAAGGGGGGGCCTGCGAAGATGAGCAAGCACTGGTAGATGTGTCTGCTGAACTGGCTGGTTGGTCAAGCTCTGGTGCTACAGCAGTATAGCCGGAGGGAAGGCTTGGGGGGGCTTGCAGAAGCACATCCTCGTATTGCCTATAGCGGAGTGGCAATGGGATGTCAGTGCGTCGGCTCCTCCGCTGCGCCAGTGACAAGCCCTGTTCCACGTCGATCTCTATAGAAGAGACAGCAAGATCGGTGTTTAATGATAATGTGGGTGCGTGGTCCTGCAGCAGGTCAGCAGATGGGAAAGAGCCATTCGCAAGGTGGCCTGGCTCGCTCGACGCCACTATGATAGGGCCAGTAGACTGTCTATCGAGGTTGTGGTTAATTCATAACCGTTTCATGGAGCCAAGAAGATGTTTTGCTTTGGATAAAACAGAGAATAATCATTTCTTGCCCTTAGTGCAAGAGCCCTGATGTTTTGTGTAGGCACTCTCCTGCGTGAACTCACGAGTACAAGCGCATCTGAAGGGAGTCAGCGATGAACCTGCCCAATCCATGAAGGAGAGCTGAAGGGGTAAGGATGCGGTTGAGTCCGACGTTGAAGGGTAGGTGGAAGAAACTGACGATTTTGACAGCATAACATAATATGGAGGGTACTAGCGATCAAACCACTAGATTCCCACCTCTGGCAGCAGGGTATAGTGGGTGGGGACATGTTATGGTGGCAGCATTAGCTGGGCAGATGATATTACTACATGTCGCAGTCTCATAAAAGCAGAGTAAATACCGCATATTTGCCGCACTAGATCATACAATGGAAGCCCCATCTTCACCTTCGTCTACCATCACTGCCCCACCTGACTGTCGCGAAACCGCTTGGAGGTTAGCGAAATTAATCGTGGAGGCTACGTTCTGTGACTTTGCCCTTCTACACTATGACAGCGCCTCAAAGTCCATGGTCGAATGGTGGTGAGACGCCCCTATTTAATATCCAAATTTTGAGTCATGACACCGCCCCACACAAACGCAGGCCTATCGACGGTGATGGAAAGAAGATTTTGCCATTCAACCTGGAGATCCACCGCGAAGAATATGAATTGAAATACCCATGCTGCCTATGCGCCGATGGTAGGGGTAGGACTGCGTACATAGAGTGCGCGGTGTCTTAATAACCGAGGGTCTTATATAAATACGTGTAAGAATGTAATGACACCACAATTACACTGGATAAGACTTCTTGCCAGTCCTCGATTAACACGGTCTACAACTTTTCTTCTTTCGTGGTAGATAACGTGTGAGTTCTTGGGAGGCTCGCTAAACCAATCAGTTAGATTAACTTAGCCGGAGCTTTATTATCTCTGATTGAAACTATGGGATTGTCTAGGATATACCGTCTAGACACTTGAACTGGTTTCCTGAATATACGATTAACTGTTGAGAAGCTGGTCTCAAATGTGACTATGTTGACCAAAGCTCATGTTGGTCAATATACAAATACCTGGTGAGAATGCTGGTCTCACAAATAACAACAAATGACAAATAGAAAACAATGACAAATAACAACAATGACCAAAGCTCGTGTTGGTCAGTATACAAATACCTGGTGAGAACGCTGGTCTCACAAATAACAACGGTGACCAAAGCTCGTGTTGGTCAGTAAACACTACATGGTGAGAACACTGGTCTCACAAAACTGGGTTTCTATCGTGAGAAACTTACATAATCTCAAGGGAAACACTTTCCCTGCACTTGTCTGGACAGTTCTTACAAAGGAAATGGGCTTTGTAAGCAGCAATTTGTTCAGACTGAAGCTTCTTAGGTGAGCGTTCAATTTGCTCAAGTGGGAGTTCTTGAATGCAACAAGTGGGAGATCTATTTTTTTTGGGGGGAGAATGGCTCTCCTTATATACATTTTGTGTGGGAATATTATGTAAGTAAAAAGGTGATGTAATGACTTCAGAATGTGAGAAGAATATTCCAAAAACTGGAGCAGAATGTTCTAGCAGATGCAAAAGAACATTCCAGAATATTCATGGTGGGATAATGACATCACTATGATATCATATCTTTCAACCAAAATACCTGCAGGAGTGTAGGTGAAGTCCTATGACATCATTATGACATCATACCCTGTAGGTACAATTTTATGAAGCATCTGATTAGTCAGAGCATCCTAATAGAAAAGTAAAGTAAAGAAACACTAGAGAAAACAACTCAGAAATAATGGAACAAATAATAGTACACAATACGCGGGCTTTTTAGATAGGTTTTTGTTAGGCTTTGAACTTTTCTCTATGGGTTTCTCTAGCCAAAGTGAATAAGCCAAAGGAAAGGCAATACCTTAACCTTCATTTTTGCTTCTCATATCAACTAGGTCATTATGTGATTCCCATCTCACATATGACTTTTCTTCAAAACATGGTGGATTCATGAATCACTGAGGGAAAACTGAAACTATTGGACCAAGGTTTGATACCAAGGTATGGGTTGACTAGTCTGAGGACTAAGCTAACAGACTTTGTCTTTTAGGGGGATACCTAGTAGTCATGTCCATGCATGATTCCCAAATCATGCAGGACAGCGGTGTACTCGTGGCGGAATAAGGACACTGGGCAGTTCGATTGGACTGCAAGGTGCGCATCTGATGAATGTGGTTACCGAGGTCAGTATGTTTCACGCTCAAGAGAATCACAACTGAAGAGTCGACCCCACCTAGTCAAAATCGACACGTACTTCAGGCTACCAACTATAACCACCTTCCAGTATCCTCGAAGAGGTACGAGCGTTCGTCCTTGCTTCACTGCAGTACTGCGTCTGACATCATGAACGGTAAAGAACAGCGAGTCTTGCCTATTAAGCTACAGTGGAATCGCAGGGAGCAAAGGGAATTGCTGAACAGACTCGATTCCTGCGTTGGAAATGGTATTACTACCAGTGAGTTCCGCATTCTGTTTAGCCACTGCAGACGATGCAAGCGAGTTGGGGTAAGATCAACAAAGTACCACATCTGTTCAGCAGGTGTGAAAAGGCGAAAAGTTCAACTTGAAGGATGATCGTTATTGCGCAGTATGGGTTAGGTCGATATGATACTGATATTAGTAGTTGTTATTGTGGTCAAGCACACCAGCCACGACGGTTTTGGCCTTCACGTGCAGATCAGGAATTTCAACTGTTCATGTACTTATCATATGCACTACATGCTACATGCTATTATAATTATGATCTACTTGAAGGAATATGAAATGCGAGACACTATCGAGATTCGAAAGCGACAAGTAAAACCGCTAGCATGCTGCGCTTAGTTGTGTGAATCAACCCCCCCTTACCCCCCCTCCCTTTCATCCCCCCTTTCACCCCCCACCCCACCGCGAGGTATCCTCCAATCCGTGGATATCTGAGACTGCATCTATGCTACGTGCTTGAGTCTTCCTACTGCTTTGGAGAATGGGTTGGGCGAGTAGTGCCTCACTCACAGAAATGAAAGGGATGCCATGTACGTGATCTACCTTGTAGGTATATTAATAGCCTGCGGATATTACGGCCATCGGGCATGTTTGGTGGGCATGTTAGGCGGGCATGTTAGGCGGGTATATTTGGTGGGCATGTTTGATGGATTGATGACTATCGCTTTTTGGTGGCCTCCCTTCCAGCACAAGTTGGGTGTCAGGCTGTGAATTGCTAAGTACCTTCTCTAAACTCTGCGATTTGCTCATTTGCATACTGAATCCAGGTGATCTGAATAAACTGCTCACACATAAATAGTACTTAATTACTCCCACAGCCAAACACCTCTGAGATAACTGTACATACAATAATTGCCTCCCCCCCCCCCTACACAATGTGTCTTTCAACAGAATCATTTGATTACTTGACTGCTCGCGCAAGCATTTTTCAACTTTCGAATGCCCTAGGCAGTGAGTCCTTGGATGCCTATATAGGCCTCATAACAAACCAGAAGGTCAGTGGGTATTTTGTTTAATCCTGATTCTTTCAAACCTTTTCATGTAGCTCCAGACTGAACTATACGTTCTGTCATTCTTGCTCAAAAATTGAGTTTATCCTGGTGATCTTTGGGAACTAGTCGGGGAGCGCAGCATAGAGGCGAAGCAAGAGGAAACTTTGCGATGCCATCAGAGCATATGTGCTAACGGGCATGCCGGAAGGCATGCGGCTGTCGAACAAATTCTCTTAGACGAGAGGAAGAGATGGTGTCAGATGGAGGTGTCTTTGTACACCCAGGCAATTGAAGTCTTGGATCAACATTGGTTGTGTGAGCTTCTTTTGTCTGAGTGTGGATGTGCAATCTGAACCCTCTTGACATTTTGTAGCACGTTTTGGTGCTCGATCCAAGCATTTCATCAGGCCTCCCTTGAGGCAAACGATCGCTCCCACGGACCATCTACCTCTTCCGTGCACACCTTTGGCCTGCTCGATATCAGCGCAAGAGATGTGTGAAGTTTGGCGGACGAGCCACGATGCCCATTTCGTGCCAACTGTAACATCTTTGACAGAAGCGTTATCACCTCTGAGCAGCTCCATTTCCTCAGTACATAGTAATCTCATCTCACAGGAAGGAAAATCAACGTCTGCCTGTCTGAATGTCAGTATACTTCGACAGTTGGCTTAATTGCTCTGACTGATTGTTCACAGTGTACTGGCCCCTCATTGCCCCTCTCGAGTACATGGGTCACCGTCGATGTCCAGAAATCTTTCTATGAGTCATTCAAGCAGGAACTGACCATACAGGCGGAGCTGATGGTGACATCCCTGGCCACCAGACGCAGCAATGCCTACCTGCGCAACCTTGCGTTAGATTTGCTCATCTTGCAGGCCAAGAGGCGCCGTGCCCACGCTGAGATAGCGCTATATACAATGGCCATCGATAATATATGTCAGTACAAATTCATGGACACCAGTGAGTACAACAAATCATGCTCCATTTCATGCTAATGATACCGCAGGTTTGTCGACATTCCCAGGTTCAAATATTCTACGACCTCCGTGTAATGAAGTGCACCACCCGCCCTGACGATGAGAATAGTGAGGATGATGCAGAGGAGAGTTGCAGAGACTATGAAGATTACGAAGACGATGAAGACTGTGAAAGCTACGGCTTGGAAGACTGCGAGGACCTCAACATGCAGTGATACTGGCTTTTTTTTATACCGAGATCTAAATATTTTTGTGTGGATCTGTATTTGTTTGGCGTTCGTAAATTATTCTCGCCTTTTTATCGACCGTGGCTAGTACTATCATTACAATTGACCTTGTACTACATCGTTTGTAAATTCTCGCGAAGTCCTGCATCATTTGGTTGTGCTACTCTCATGCTGTTCCTTTAAGCCATACGTTGGCCAACCTTCCATTTTGTTGTTAAATATACTTGTATGTTCTCTGCACTCTGAAATTGTCTTTATCACTGTGACGCCAGCCTGAATCCATCAGCAGCAGCGGCGTGCTGTCACACCCAAGCTGTCACGGTGACCTTACTTGTAGTGCAGATACACCGTGACTTGTCACTCTATCATGATCTGTCTGGCAGGCCTATCCTGATCACTCCCGCTACCTGTGGTTGAACACAATCTGTGAGTTCTCCACCCCACAAATCATTCTGAGGTTATTACATTTAATATCATCTCACAGAATCATATCTGTTTACTTTACAGATGTCAAACGCTCTTGTTGTACTGGCGGAATCCGATATGCTGTTGGTTTGAACGACAACTTTGAGCGACAAGTTGAACATGTCATGGATTTTGACCGACGAGTATCCAAGCTCTCTGCAAAGGAGGCTCGGTTTGCTATCCAGAGGATCTTCCTTTTGGAACTCGTGGAGACAAAAACAGGATTTTCGAATTTCCATGACCTCGCCATATATGAGCGCAGCTATGCAAGTGCTGCTGCTATTTGACCGCATTGTTACCTTGGAAGTGGTGCGTTTTTGTGTATGGAGATGACATTCAAGCTGACAACATGTGGCCTTTCCCTTTCCCTTGCATCCAGCGGTGCCTCACCCTAGCTCGCAATGGTCCTCTACATTCAAGCAGGCGTTGCTAATGCATGCATAATATCACATACTCTGCCTGTTTGTGGTTATCCAAATTTACAATCTTATCGCTCCCATGAAGCTCCGTACCCTCCGATCCGCAAAAAGCCGCAAACGCAGACCATGCTCCAAGCATATAGTATTCAATCTCTCGTTTCGTTGACAAGGTCCTTCGCTGAACTGGTCAGCAGAAGAAGCTACATTGGTACGTGGTTATTTCTGTGTCTATTCTTTCCATGGACTAGTCCTAGTCAGCGCGTCTCAGATATATGCGAGGGCGATCAAGAAACGCCGTGTATGTCTGATGGACAGCAAGACAATGATTCCTGTTTTAAAATCGCGGATCGTGTACACGTCTGCTAACTATTTAAGAATAGTGTACACTAGCAGCAGTTGCAGTTGCATTACAACCCCCTGCTCAGATCAAGCCACTGCTGCATCGCCCCGAAAAGTGGGAATCTATTGCAGCTCCTGTATCTAAGTATTGTCCTCAACTTCGCCATCGTATTCGCCTAAGCAGTACAGTCAGATTTTTCTAAGCGAACGTGTTTTCGACGTACTTGGAGTAGGAGAGGGCGCATCCCATGCGATCTGATGGGGGAGAGCAAGTACTGAGACCATCTGGTGCATGTTCTTTTAAAATTCTTGCCCGATAATTTTCCTCTAACCAACGAAGTCTGTACTTCTGGTACAGCTCTTCTAGCCTGGAGCAGTTCATCTCTGCCGACTGCAGTCGCTCTTTGAGCTCGATCGTGGCGTCCACATTGCTCTTTTCGTTGTGAATCGCTGACACTGGAAGTGGAGCCTCGTCGCTCCGTGCTAAGGAGCTGTCGTCATTCATGTTGTCCACCAACTCGATTCTAATGAAATACATCAGCACGTGCTGCCGCCAGGTAGAACTATCGGGCTTACCGCAGACTCAAGCTAATACTATGTCCTTGCAGTTTGGAGGTCTGGCGCCTAGTAGGCTGTGGCATATCGGGGGGCCTTAGCAGATGCGTTCTTTGGTGCAGAGCTATAATGAAAAATTGAAAGTTCGAGGGAGTTATATATCCTTTTACCATCAGATTTCGAACTTACTATCTGAGCTCAGGTTTATTCGGTACATAAAATTGAGCGGCTACGATGGCCACGTAATTCAAAGTCTCCGTTAATGGTGGCCGTGAATGTGCCGTCATTCAAGGTGGCCCTACATGGCGGCCACTTTTTTTGGCCATTGTCAATCTTGCTGTGGCTGTTGCTTTTGCCACCAGTTACCCTGTCATATTACGTAGTGCTGAGTATAAGACTGCCTCTGGTGTCTGCAGAGCTCAGGCTACTTTCTCCCTCCCCATCTTTTGATGACCAACCAAGACACTGATTCCGGCGTCCCGAGCAAATGTGGCTCGTCAGCCCTCCAAATGGGACCTCGCAAAAAAGTGTAGGCTGTCCCAGATGCTCGACTGCAACATTCATAGGTTAATAAACTCGTCTCACAGCTCCTCATCTGATCCACTAGTGTCCCACGGACGCCACTTCAGTCGAACAGTGTTCGCACTGTGTAACTACCCCTCATTGCTCACCAGTGGTATCTTGAGACTTGAACAAATAGAAGATGTTCCGTTAGAGGACTTCCCTGCCGAGTGAAGAAATTTTACCTCTGCATTCGGCATTTGCTCTTTGGCTGATGCGTTTGACAGAGAGTGGCGAGAACATCGCGTCTTCGAGCAACTTTTAGATTCATATCCTGGTCTTTTAGAGCGACTGAAAGACGGATCCAAGGAAGAAATCCTTCACGTTGGAGAGCTGGTGCGTCATCTTCTGCTTGGCTGGGATTCATGCTTACAATTCACAGATCGGCAAGGGCACCGCAGGCGCCAGGGGCGATGACACAAAAACGTTAAAGTCTGCAATACTTGATTGGATCACCCCCAAAGGGGAAGGCATACGGCCCCCTTTACATAGAAACTCTAAGATCGACCGCGGTTTTAACCATGACCTTACAGGATCTCTTCTATGTCCCGCTGGATTGGACTGGAACGACTTCCAGTACGTTTTTGTTTGCTGGCATCTGTGTAATACTGAATCTTCTTTTGTACTTTTTTCAATGTAGGACTAAAGAGAACCTACGAAGCGGCGAGATGCTGGTCTGTGGGGATCAATGGCCCATTTTTTGTACGCCCACCACGTTTATGACCCTGAAGACCCGTGGTGCGGGCTTCTTCAGAGCCGCTTACTAGTCTATGTGAGTGCACACTCATTTTTCAGATATCTCATTTGCTATGAGGTATTCCGACAGGCCTACAAGCATGTGTTCACATCTCCAAGTTCAGTCGAAAGGGAACCAAAGGCCACACGATCCGGAAACGCACGGCTCCATGGCATGAACTCTGTCACAATCGCCTCCCTAGCGTATATCGCAACCCAGGTCCATTGAGTATCAATTCTATGGCTAAAAAATTTTGACGTACAATTGAAGGTGTGATTTGCCCTGAGCTCATCCTCGATGTTCTCTCGTACCGACACAACTACAGACTCGGAGACATTCTATCATAGCCTCCTCGACCTATTAGAAGACCCTGAAGAATACAAGGAAATTGACGAGCTACTGACCTGGTGGAATCGGTATTTTTTTTCGCTCTTCGCCATGCCACTAAGGCTGATCATTGTCACTCACTCAGCCAAGTTTTCCCCACTTCCTCTGCGGCCAAGAGACCCATTAGTGTCAACAGCGCGCTATTCAAAATCCGACAAAAATGTTTAGCCCTCAAACAAGCTTCGAATCTAAATACCCCCTCTTCATAGTTTTATGTTTATTTATATATTCAGAGTCAATTTAAATGCAATCTAATGACGGCCTGATTCCGGCTTTGTAAAGCCCACAAAAGTAATTGCAGGACGAAAAAAACGTACAATACTGCTACGCCTTGGTGCGATATAGCCTAACGTTAGAAATTACTATACGATGGCATCATTCAGAGAGGGTTTGCGGTGAACAAAATCCCTCGCTATCTTGTGTCTAATGACTAAACCTCAGCAATTATCTGATGAAGGGCACCACATTGACATGCCTTCGCATTGTGGCACCAAAAGTATCCCCCATCCAAAATAGTCTGGCATTAGAAGACTCCATCAGTGAGGGAGAGAATGTAGAGCATAGAGTGACCAACTGACCTTGTGTGCGGTTACCACGTCTAAACAAGGTTGGGGAGGATGCTAACGTGCTGTCATTGGTCGCATGGGTTGTGTACTTAGTGTATCTGAGCAGCATAGGTGGGCATCGCGACCACATAACTAACGTCAATGTTGGAGGAGTTCTTGTCGGGGGTACAATAGCACGCTGTGCTTGCACGAGTCAACCCCATTGATACAACTTGGTACTGTGTTGCGGATGCGTGGCACCCTTGGGTTGCACGCAGTTCGGTCCAACACAGTCCGGCCATTTAAAACTTTGTCAGGCATTAGCATTTGCTCAGATATTGGGGTGGACAACATGAAAAACTAACTTTATGTACGCTTATCGTTTCTCATTGAGGTTGGGTTGGATGGCAACACACTGTGGCTTATCACCTGAATTCTGCACTTAGCGGATGTGGGCAATGAAGGATAGGATGACAACCACTTACCTAATGTCAGCGCTGGGGAAGTTCTTGTTGAGGGTGCAATGGCAAGCTGTGCTTGCGTAAAGCAACCACATTGGTCCCGCATTGCGAATGCTCGGCACCCCTGGGTTGTAGGCAGTTTGATCCAAGATAGTCTGGCGATATAATTCTATGACCGACACTGGCATCTATTCAGAGATTGCGGAGGAAGTCAACATAGTCAAAGGTTGCATGTCATGACCAGCGCAAGTCAAAATTGTCGTGTATTGTCAACTTGCCCCAAGATGGCACAAATTGCAATACCTGTCCGCCGTGACAGAGTTGCCAGCTATTGCAACCGGACTGCCATAATTGTATATTTGGCGGCTTCCACCCATGTCAGTCTGGGTATTCAAAGCTTTCTCGATTGATATACAATTCTGATAGGTATTATGCAAATTTTAGACAAGATAAAGCTTGCTAATAATTTATCATTTTCGGGTCATTTACCTGATGAGATGGGTGAACCCTCCCATCTATCCTTATATATGGAAGTTAGTTGTTGGTGACAGGACTGACGTGGATGTACGTGTTCCGATCACACCCTGCCTTGACTGCTCACTTGCCAGATAGAGTTATAGAGGCTCTTTCGAAGATTGGTGCATTCTCGATACTTTTGCGCTTTACCTTGAGCAGCTCCACGATCTCCCGAAGGAGTTCCATCGCAAAGACATGCCGAAGGGAGCACTGTCCATTGCCACGATTGCGGTATGTCTATCTTCGTCAGCCCAATGCTACTGATGCATAAGCAGGTTGAACGCGCTTGGAAGATGTGGTCCACCGGTGTCTATGTGAAACCCAAGAGACCTGCAGAGTCTCAATTTGCAGAGGGTCTTTGGAGTGACCGCACTGAACTCGTGATGGAGTCTCTAGAACAAACTACCCACCGCAAATGGAAGAAGATATTTAAGGGTGCGAGGTCCTTTATTGATGTTCATCAAAAGCGGTCATCTCGTCACGCAAAGGCTCAGAGGAAGGTTGTAGGTGACAATGGCCGCGCTATTTGTGTCGAAGAAGATTCGGGAAGCGATTCAGGATCTGATGTTTCACTTATGGGTTGATTTTCACGACGCTGAACCATCATGTTTTGCCCGTTGCCTTTTGTTACTCATGTTTGTTGCTGATCTTTGCTATTTGTTGATTCCTCGTTCATCATTGCTTGTTCGCCGTGCCACACTCGCTATTACGTGCTGAATGCTACAGATCCTATCTAGATAATATGAATTAATCGTGCTCCTGTGTACCTGACGGCATAAATGTGTGACATGAGTTCTTGCTGACTGAAATGAGTGATGACCAGGTATATTGATGGTCTGGAGAGCTGTTTGTGTTGGGACAATGGACAGTCTAGGGTCATGCACATGTGACATGCTCACAAATTGATTGGTCTAACAATATAATCATTAGACACTCAGTTTGCCTGGTTCATTGATCATCTAAGAAAATGAGGGACTCATGATATGATGGCCCTGCTAATATGAAAGACTCGAAAGATGGTTGTCTGGCTAATATGGTTGTCTACGACCTGACAATGTGTTGTATAGGTAGTCAGGGGTGTTGAGCACCTGATGAGTAGAGCTGCCTGAAACACCTAATAACCCTAGAGTCAGAGGATCTGTTATGTCCTGATGTACTGTCTCCCATGTTACTTTGCAAGTCTGCATGAAATGACAGGATGTCATGTTGATGGTCTCTGTTGCTGATACTATGATATACTGATATCAGACTCATGCGTCTGATTTCAGACCATATCTGACATATTGAAGGACTGTGGTTCCTGTTGCATCTGCTGTCAGACCAGGCAGGTCAATCAGGGAAATGCCAGGTTTCCTGATGCACACAAGCAGATAGGACAACGACTCAAACACATCGTGGATGTTACATGCGTCGCCATTTCTCCCAATGCAGAATTGGTCGTGGTCAGAGACCTCCATGGTGGGGTTCAGCTCTGGTCAATCAAGAACACACTTTCGGCAGCAGTCCAGCTATATTCCTCATCTGACTCTTACTTTGCACACTGCAGTAAGGTGAATTTGGGACAAAACCTCCATCCTGAGGCCCTTTCGGATGCTGAAAAGGTGCAGACAATATCTGACATTGTTTTAGCAATTGTGATGAACTGCTGATTCATAGGTTATCGAACTCAACCCATCGTCTCACCTTGGGTACAAACTGAAGCATGCAGCTCTTTATGGAGCACAGCACTATGATGATGCAATTGAGGCCTTCAAAATAATGCTTTCCAAGTTGGATGATACACCCGACTCACAGATACGACATAAGCCCACAATACCTCAGGAGCCAAATTGAAGATGATTTACTCTTTTTCAGAGTTGCGCCAGCAATATGTCAGTCCATCTGAAGTAGAAAATGGTATTCGACAAGCCATACATGCTCACCTGGAAAATGCCCCACTTCGTCTAATTAACACCATCACTGGGAACCTATGTGACCGACAGGCACAGATCAATACCTTCATGAAAAGCACAGTGTACAAGGAGATCTTATCCTCATCAATGCTGCATAGGCCCCTCCAAACGGAGCCCATCAGAAAAATGGTCGTGAAGTACTTTGGTTGGGTCATGTTATCCCATAGGTGGGAAACCAAGGAGCCGTGGCTGCATGAAATCCAGGACAAGGATGTGTACACCTTGCGTCCAGTTGGAACCATAGTGAAACTGCAGAAGTTCTGCAAAATCGCTCATGATGCGGGACATCATTGGGCGTGGAGCGATACATGCTGCATCGACCAGAACAATAACGTCGAGCTCCAAGAATCAGTCAACTCCATGTTCATTTGGTATCACCACTCAGCACTCACCATCATCTATCTATTGGATGTTTCCCCTTTGTCAAAGTCTGGTGCACTGGCAAACAGTGTTTGGAACACGCGAGGATGGACTGTTCAGGAGTTCCTCGCTCCTACAATTGTTCTCTTCTACCAAGCAGACTAGACCCTATATCTCGATGACCGCTCACGCAACCACAAGGAGTCTGTCAGTATCATGCAGGAGTTGGAGCGTTCAACTGGTATAGATGTGGGGGCGCTCGTCGTTTTCAGCCCAGGGATGAAAGACGCCCAAGAGAAACTTCGATGGGCATCATGCCGTGTTACGACATTGCAGGAAGACATTGCATACTCATTGTTTGGCATTTTCGGCATCCATCTACCTGTCATCTATGGAGAGAGAAAACACAATGCGCTCGGATGTCTCTTGCAGGAGATCATCGCTCACTCGGGCGACATCACAGCCCTAGACTGGGTTGGACAGTCATCTAGCTTCAATAGCTGTCTGCCAGCCAAAATTGCCTCATACAGAGGCCCACCATGCACACTGCCATCTCTATCCGAAGATGAGATTCAATCATCGGTCTCCTCGCTGCGAAATAATGTGGCTTGGGAGTCGGTTTTGTAGCTCTACACCATCCTTGATAACATCAATGCACCTCGCTTCGCCAATTGCAGATTGCGACTGCCTTGCATCACATTTCCAGTCACAAAAGTCAAACGGAGGGTCGGTACACCTTGCACTTATCATATAAAGGCAGACGGACTCCAAGATCTGGAAATCACAACAGGGGACACGCTGGTACAATTCTGGCCTGGAAGGTCCACCTCGCAGAAATTCTTGCTCATCCGTCCATTGAACCGTCATGATCTCGGGCTGCCCGACTTTGCAGACGAGATACAGAGCACGGATAGGCCTGAGCCTGGGTCTCCATCAGATGATCCACTCAGCTTATCTACTTCAGACAACGAGCCGGCTGGTTCGCAGTCTCTTACATGACAGTCGAGCTTTCTCGTTCGCCTCGGACAGTGTTTGGGTGCACTTTGGCTAGGGGAGCAGGAGCTGGCTGATTCGCGGTCTCACACGCGAGAGTTGGCGTTGGTTGTTCGCCTTGGACAGCCTTTTAGCGCACTTTTACTAGCGCAGCAGCGGGGTGGGGAGTATAAAAGAATCGCTTCAGGTTGCAATATCATGGCACGAGTTGGGGACATCACTCATGTCAATGACATGATGAATGGCAGGACGCTGGAGATATTGTAGCTGCATTCTTGTCGAACAACAGGGATCTCTTACTCATTTTCATTCATACTTCGACAGCCCCTGCATGGAAGATTGTATAACAGGCAAGTAAATTACCCAATTGTATAACTGAATCGTCATTTAAGCATAGCTAGGCTAGACAGTCTTGTGAATTTTCGTATCCTTACCTTGCCAGAAGCCCTTATAAACTGCGCTTGTACACGGCTGACAGAGAGGTACAGATAGGCTCATCGCTTTCCTCCCGGGGATGGGAGGCACTGGAGAGAAACTCCAGTGGGCATTGACGGGCAGGCGTGATAGGACAGAAATCTGTTGCAGGTTCGAAACCTGCTCAATGATCTTTTTCCTTTTATCGCGCCTTGAACATTCAGTTCTTCGGAGGTTTATCTCAACTCGCGAAGTATACTGGCTAAAGTGATTACCACAACAGAATCGAAATCTGTTTCTCTTGGAGACTGTGCAGCTTCGAATTTTGCTGATGGCAAGTTTTCTCTCTCTCTCGGACAGACCTTGACATTCACTCATGGATGGCTTCGTCAGAGGTTCATCTAACTGGTCTTAGCTAAGAGGTCACCATAACAGAATCAAAATCTGTTTCTCTTGGACTGTGCAGGTTCGAAACTTGCCGATTGACAGGTTTTTTTCTATTGGAGCACACCTTGAAGATTCTCTCACGAATGGTTTCCTCGGGGACGAACCTCAACTTCGTCCTGGCCAAAGTGGTTACCACGACAGAATCTAAATCTGTCTATTGGATTGTGCTGTGCAGGTTCGAAACCTGCCGATTACAAGGTTTTTTGTGTTATTGAATCATGCCTTGAAGATTCACTCATGTATAGTTTCCTAAGTCCTTGGAGGTCCATCTTGACTGGTCTTAAAGCCAGGTGATTTCCGCAACAGAATCAAAATCTGTCAAGCTTGCTGACGACAAGGTTTTTTCCCTGACATACTTCGACATTCACTCACTGTGGATGGTTTTGTTGGATAGCCATCTTGACTGGTCTTAGCCAAGTAGTTACTGCAACAGAATCAAAATCTGTTTCTTTTCGACTGCGCAGGTTCAAAACCTGCCGAATCACAGGTCTTTTTCTATAAGAACACACCTTGACATTGACTCATGAACGGTTTCTTCAGAGGTCCAACTAACTCGTCTTAACCAAGTGGTTACCACAACAGAGTCAAAATCTGCTTCTCTTGGAGTTGGTTCGAAACCTACTGACAATATCTTTTGCGGTGTATAGATTCTCGGAGGTGCATCTTGATTAGGCCCAGTCATTGCACCGAAAGGTATGATTATGTATTTTTCGAGTTCCTGCAATGCTAATTTCATTGTGCAGGTCGTGCGGCTGACTCTACATCAAAGTATTCTACAGCTTGCTATTATCATACAAGCACAAGGACGACCTCATCACCATCACAGGCGCTCTTTCACTACCCAGAGATGGGACATGCATGAATCAAAGAACATCTTGCAGGAAATCCTCACTGTGTCAGTCAAGCCAAGGTTCGCGGTACTTCTTGGGGTCAAACGAACAAGTGCCGCCACAGCGTTGTGGAGACTGTTGGGGAGCTTTGTAGTGCGAAAGAACCACAGACGAGAGCACCAAGGATGCAGATTGATGAGGCAAAGGGAAGCATTTCGACCAGCTAGACGCGTAACATTGGTGTTCAAGTTTAGCTAGCTAAAGAACGGACCCGACATACCGAAAGTGTTTGTTTACGGCCGAGTGTAGGTCTTTTTGCAACCGGTAAAGTAGCTGTTGAAGTCCACCTGAATGGCCAATCTGGTAGAGGAAAGGAGACAAGGAGGGATGTAGCCTTGAAACGACGAGCCCTCAATCGTCTACTTGCAAGGGTGTTGCGGAAGAAGCGTAAACATGCTGATTGAGCATGCAGAAAAACTTGTTTTCTGTGATACAGGAGGAAGATATCGATTCGCGTGAGCACATCTTGAGGATACAAATGTACCACGAGACAGGCGTAGAAGGCACGAGTAAAGCGATCTTTAATGC